GTCTCGAAAACTCAAAATAGAGAGCCAAAAAATATGTTGATGTGAGCAGTTAAAGATACTCTTAAAGAGAACAACACAAGTATTAATTTTACACTCTGCTATCCATATCTGTCAGAAAAATTTTATTTCTTTGGACCACGTTACATAACAGAAAGCTGAACAAAATAATGCAACGTTGGCAAACATGTTTCCAAGTTAAGCTAACAAGTACAGTAACAATGTTCTTTGTAGCTTAAGTTTGAAAATAGCACAAGCTCGCAGAAAGCTAGCAAGGGTTTAACTGTAACATAATACATGCGTCATTTTTAGCTGTCACTTAGCATGTAAAATGCAAGCATTATACACCTGTTTTTTTCTATTCTCTTTCTTCACGCAAGAAAAGACTCTCATAAGTTGTAGTTTGATGTGTTTGACTTAATGTAAGTAATATCAAGGTATTACAATTTATATTACAGTTCACTACTTTGACCATTGAGTTCAATAATAACTGGAGCGGCTATCTCAAGCGCGGCCTTAGATATCTGCTGACGCCAAAAAAATGGCGGATTTCGTCCGTTGCCGCTGAGATTTACCGAAATTGATCGCTTTTCCGAAAATTTCACAATTTCCCACTCCCTCCTGAGGAAAGAGAAGAAAATGTATGTGTATTTGGGATTCGTCAAGCAATTTTTTGATGAAAATCAAGGTAAAAACCTCAAATTCATAACAGCGAGTCAACTGTGGTTGTCAGTTATGTGCTACTACGAGGATGCATTTATAACTATCGACGAAAGAGCTATATGTCGGCTACACATGTATGAATGCAGATGTGCGTCGTTTTTACCAACGTCGAACTTGTTTGATCGATTAAACTCTTTAGTCTATACAAAAAGTATATCATAGTTCATCTCCACGGTTCACGAGAGAAGTTAGCTTATTTGTTATCATTGCTATTTTGCTTCTTTTCATGATGCAATGGGCAATGGCTTTTTTCGCCACAATTGTTGGATTTTTACTTGTTTCTTTAAAAAAGTAAATATTAAATCTCTGGATATTTACGGATTTTCTGTAATTGAGTTTCATATTAAATTTCAAAAAGACTCAAGTCTGCATAGGTTTGGTAAATCAAAACAAACAATATTGTATAGAAAGTACTTTAAGTAACCTTTTTGTGATGTTCTGAAGTGCAACTGCATCAAATACTTCTAAAGTTGTAGCACATTTTGATTTTGTTGTATTGATACATGAATTGGGCAAAATGCAAATAATCATCAAAACACTTATGCTTCCAATGGTGTTTATAATTCATTTGTAGTTTTAATACTTCTACCCTTCTTTTTCACTTTGTTTTGTTTTTCCTATATTTGCAAATAAGTACACAATTTGAATGATTAACACAGTTTTCACCTAAATAATAAATTTCATAAGCAGTTGGTAGTGCATTTTGTTCTCTGAGTATCCACATCTGGTGTTTTGTTCATACAAGAATGATGAAGTGCAAGTAGATATGTCATAGCAAGGCAATATAACCAAATGAATCAAATACCTATGTACTTTTATGCTAGAAGCTTAAAAGCTTTTAGAAATTATAAAGTTATTGGATTATATTAACCATATATCATCAATCTCATGAAAAGAAATAAGAAGCAAAAAATTTGTAGGAAAGCTTTGAAAAGTGAAAAACTTTTCTTTAAAAAAGTAGCAATAATGCATATGATAAATCTCCAATCTGTACTTTACTAGGTAAATAAGCTCAAACTGTTTCTTGAAACAAAAACTATAATAATGAAGAAATATACAGTACAGTAACTTTGAAAGTTTCATCACTGAATCTTTAATGCTTCAGTGTAGTGCATTAGATATTAGTAACATTTATACAACACTCAACTAAAATGTTTTGATAAAGATATGACTTGATTTAAACATAAGTTATATAAAACCCAATGGCTTATACAGTTTGATGCTTCACATCTGCATCAAGTCATCAATCTCAGTACAAATGTTTACATAGACTTTATGGCTTTCCCATTTTATATCTTTGTGAATTGACATTTCATTAAGCATCAAAACACACACAACCTTGCCATCTTTCTTTGGTTCATGAACTTTAACTTCAAAGCATTCAAGGCATCCTTAGTGAATCATTTGTCTCCATCCCTAGAATTTGACCATGATCAAATTAAATAACTCTGGATAGGGCAGACGATAAATCAATTATCTTTACAGCATTATAATTTTTTAAGACTCTGCCTGGTCAATAACATCTTCCAGTCATCTTTACTCCTTGGTCTTCCCTGCATGTTGTCAGCAAATAGAACATAACAAGCTCTGCTCCAAATCATGGGTACTCTTGGGGCTGATCATTTCGTTTTGATACTTACTCACAGAGCAAAATGTGTGCAGGGTCTTTTAGCTTTAGGAAACTATTTTGCAAATAGATGGGTAAATTTACGACTTCATGCAGACTTTAGAAAAGTATGCAGAATTTTATAAACAAAACAGGAAAACATCAGTATATTTGGCGTTCAAGTCAGTCTTAAAAATACGATCTTTAATATGTATTTTATGGCTTTTAAAGTGCATGTATAATTGCTTTTCAGTTTTCAATCGTTGACGGACTAAAAACCAAGCAACTATCTCACCTGTGAGAAGCGATATGTTCCTTTTGTGGAAACTACGACATCCAACAATTGAACGATTGAAGTGTTGACATTATAAAGAAATGCCAAAAAAGATATCGTCACAGAATATGGAACTAACGATATCGTGTTGGTTTTTGAAAAATTCTTTATAATTTACTATATACACCAGGGGGAGGTCGAGAATATTATTTTTCTGCAAAGCGATCATTTCAGCGGAAATACGTCCGTTGGCCGCCATTTTTTTGGCGACCTCGCCCCAGTAAAGATAGCCGCTCCAGTTATTATAAAACTCAATGACTTTGACGAAATATGTTATAATATGAACGAAATTTATTTATTAGCGATTACATTGATTGGATCATCAAACTTCGGGGCTTCTTCACGTTATATGAAGCGGATTGTTGGGTTTCCTGCATTTATTTGCTTGTTTTGCTCTGACAACAGAAAACAGCAAATATTCATAAATAGCTAAATACTTCTATACGTGCTTCATCAAAGTGTACACTATCTAAGTTTTTCAAGCGTCAAGTCAAAAGTACATTTGACCTTTTGCCTCTAGCCATAAGACCAACAGATTAAGATAATAACAAGATAAAACTTCCTACTTGTAGCACAAGCACAACGTGTCTAATCTCTGTTCACATGCAAGAAATACTTGAAGATTCTTTTAGTAATTACATTTGAGGAATCCAATCCATGCAACTTGTCGAAATCACCCATACAACGTACAATTCCTGCTATTTCAGTCGGTTTAATAAGAAGATTTAATTCATAAAGCTCGAAAAGATAATGAATTGATGTTTGACAGATTTCATCCATTCTTTTTGACAATGGAGCATTCACGATATTCGTTATTGGACTAAATTTGTACTGGGTAATGTGAGTACAATTGAGTACAAACTCAATTGTCATTTTTTTCATAAATTTATTCTGCGTAATGTGAGAACCAGTTGATGCCTGCTGGCCTTTATCGTTTGATTTTTTACTAGAACCCCTGTGAATTTGTTGATACCAGCTGAAGATTTTTCATTCTTTAAACGCGCGATATGACTATCTTTCTGCATGTGTGTTGTGCGCTGAAAAGGATGTTGTAAAATCCATTTAAAAAAGTCAACTAATAGCACTAAGAGGGCGACGTAGATTGATGATTGGGGCTAAATTTATGTATTCATATGTCTGTTATTATGTCTGTTATCTCTAATCAAAATTGATTTCAATTTAGTAACTAATGCAATAGAACATGCACATATGAATATTAGCCCATAATTATCAATCTTCCGCCGCCCTTGCTCTTTTTAAAATACCTTATAGCTTTAATCTCTCAACAAAATAAAGATCTCAACTTTTGAATTAGACTTAATGGAAATGTTCAAAATCATCATTAGGGTAAAAATTCATTTATAATTTTTATTCGTATATATTCTGTATAAAGCCGTTTGATTGTTTTTCCAGTAAGTTTCACTCCTACTCCAGAAAAGACATTTTTGATGGTCAAAAAGAAAACAGTTGAAAACAAAATGATACATGATTTTAATACATTGGAATTCTGGTCTCCGAACTATTATTCTTACGATTTCGTCAACGTTGGTTGAGAAAAAAACTTCAGAAATTTCATTCTCCGTTTGAAGTGAGAATAAATTCAAATGATAAAACTTATCAAAACTTGGATTTATCAAAAATGAATAAAGAAGATAATTGTAAATCATTGAGGCAAAAGGATAACACAGTAGATACGACTTACCAAGAATTGGATTTATCAAAGATAAAGAAAATAATTGTCTGTCATTGAGGCATAAGGATCATATAGTTGACTCAACTTATCAAGAATTAGATTTATCAAAGATGAATAAAGAAAATAATTATGAATCATTGAGGCCAAAGGATGATACAGTTCACTCAACTTATCAAGAATCAGATTAAACAAAGATGAATAGAGAAGATAATTATGAATCATTGAGGCCAAAGGATGATATAGTTCACTCAACTTATCAAGAATTAGATTTATCAAAGATGAATAAAGAAGATAATTATGAATCATTGAGGCCAAAGGATGATACAGTTGACACAACTTATCAAGGACGGGTAGCTCAAAAACGAATAAGGAAGATAATTATGAGTCTCTGAGAAAGAGAATAAAGAATCTGTGTACGAAGAAGTCAATGAAAGAAAAAGTTATGAGAACAGTCTTTTTTTCAAGAAGATCATAACATTATGATGTGTCATAACCAAAGTTTTGTATAATTTCAACTTCTTTTGAGGTCTTGGAGACCTTTTACTTTAAAATTTGCTGATGATTTTACTAGGGCGGGTGATACTTTGCCCATTTATTGATGTAAAGAAAAATAAAATTCACATTATGTGTCAAGAAACCGTCAAACATATTTGTATAACTTTTATTTTACATAAATCAGATCTTTTAACCTGTACAAACAGGGTACGCAATGGTTAGATTTGACTTTCTCTTGTTTGTTTGATTCAGTTTGATTTGATTTTGTGAAGATACATCATAATTTTTTATTTTCCAAGGGCATTTATCAAAACACTTTGTTCGTTCTGGACTTTTTATGTAACTATATAATGCTTAATAAAGCTTGTAAAATGTTAGTCGATTATTCAATTGCATGATAACTAGTAATCCAAATATCATAAAAAGTTTTCATCGGAAAAGACTCCATTACATAAATATGATGTGTAAATAAATACTAGACCGTCGTGTAAAACCCTATATAAGTCTCAAACTTTACATTTGCAGCGTTATATAAAAATATGAGTAAGTTTCAATCGTACTTTACTATCGATTCTTTGTAGACGTTTTCTTTCCGTTTTCCCGAGTTTTTGCTCTCGCCATTGATCGTTCTGCTTTTAACTAAACAATAAACACTAATTCTCATTTGGAATACCAATAACAATAAACTTTCTAGCAATATAACTTACCCGCTCTTGATAACGTTTTTCAAAGTGGGCCATATCAATTTCTTCTTTAGTCATCCCACGATCTTGCAAATTATTCCTTTCTTCCAAAGACATGCTAGCCATGTTATAGTGAGCTCGTATAAATGAACGATCTTCTGATCCTGTATATTTAACATCAACACAAAACTTTGCTAACATACGAAAAATTAATTGAGACGAAACTCTAGTCATCCATTGACAAGGGTAGCTACACTATGGTAATTTCAAAACAGTAATTAGTTTATGCGCACGTTCGACTTAAAATATATCGGCCAACTTTTGGACAATTTATTATTGGACTTCAAAAAACGTGTGTTTCAGGCAGTATTTTCATCAAACAGAAAATTTATTGTGGAGGTGATATTAATCTGTCCATAAAGGAGCGATAGCTTGTTTAGATACGTAAATATACGAGCATGGTTGGTTGTCGTTTCAGATCATCTTCCTAAAAACAATTTTCCCCATCCCATGACTGTTTTACTCACAGAGGAAATAATAACTGGAATCTCACCAATAGGTTTCTCAAGCTGGTCTCTAGATAGCCTGCCAATGCCACTGTCATCCAGTCTCATGTAGCCTTCTGCAAGTGAACTAAATCCAGTAATACCCCCCATTGCTGCATATGGTACATCATCACCCACAGGATGACCACGCGCCTCGCGTTCATCTTTTGTCTCAACAATTGTCTATAGAAACACAGAAAAAATATCGTAAGTATGCGAATTTACAAAAACTTTTTGGAGCCCATAATTGGGAATATGACTTAGAAAAATTACAAGCTCGTCCTGATTTCTTTAGAGATCACAATTGAATGAATGATATTCTTTAATATGTACTCCAATTTGTACAGGTGTTTTGAGCGATGCATTTCAAGCATGCATTTGTTGCAAAAGTAATCTGACATCAACATCAAAGTGATCTGATAGAACGTCAGGTGATCAGAAACACCATTATTTTGAAAATAGCTTTTTGAACACTTTATGTGCAGACATAATTAAAACGTTTATACCTTATGCGCATGAGCTGGATTCCCGCAACTACAGGTAAAAGCACTCCAAAATCTCTTGCATGAACATCCTTTTAGACATTTATAAGGCTTGCTTACAGAATGATCGTCAGAATAATGTTTACACACACAGCGAATGGGTTGGCTACCATTTAAAGGTACATAGTGGTAAGAAGAGCATCTGCAACCAGGCACACGACAAGGCAGTAATATGGGACGGTCAATAGGAATATCATCTAGATCTGTTTTATGTTGTTTGTATCTACAAGTATTGAGGAAGGCAATAAACATGAGGGTAATTACCACCGATATAGATAAAAATTCTAGCTAGTGTCTTTGATAAAACAGCAGCCTTCAGACTTGTGGAGTTGTTCAGCAAAGTTGTTGGGTAGAGCAGTGGGCAAAATTTCCAGATACTTAGGGACCGTCGAAAAATTGATAATTGGAGAGGGGGGCTTATATTCATATAGTCATAAGTTATAATCAGTAATCACAATCGATTTCAATACAATTACATCAGAACATGCAAAAATAAATATTATCCCCCAATCATCGATCTTCAATGGTCACTGAATTTCGACCAAGGCAAAGGTTTGCTGGCCTGTGTGTAAGATTTTCTAATACGAGCATAGGGATGCAGTTTTTAGTGCGAAACTGCCACAAGGTTCATGCACTAAAAATTTGAATTTCTAACATGTACAATCAAGCTAGTTGATATTCAGCTGTTTCTTATTTGACATTTTTTTTTTAATATTTACTATTTATTTTTTATATTTATTATTTTTTATTTTCTATTAACTAGTTCTGTAAGATTTTTTACATAAATAGGAGACCCTTGATATAGGGCTAACCTCTGGGTTTCCTTTTTCTTAATAATGATGTATTTACATGTTGTTCTGAAATAAAGTATTGTAAAAAAAAATCAAGGATTTCCATTTCCAAAATCAAATACGCATACCACAGTGAAACGGCGAAACCCATAAAATTCTCATACATCCACAAGGACAGCAAATCACGCATGCGTACATATTTTACAACATTCACAACCATATGCTATGAATGTTAAGGTTACGAAAAATAATATTCTAGCATTTTTAGAAATTACTACAATTTAGCTACATTCATTCTTTCAACTGTTATTTTCTGTGAATAAGTGACTACATCTTACAGCACCTCATGACAATAAATAAAACATACCATCATAAGCGTACCTGTGCCTACAAAAGCAAAGAGTTTCAGGACCAATTAATTTACAATCCAATCCCCCAGGTTCAGTCCAGCTTACGTACAGACGATTCTTCATTCTTTTGGGTAAAACAATTTTCTTGTAGTTTTCATATTGCTCTGGTGTAAACAGTTTTCCTTCATCGTCATCACCAACAATCCTATAATAATTTGGCGGCCGCAAATTACGTTGAAGTAGTAAGTAAGGGGTAAACCCTCCGAGCCTCACTTTCCCTTCCCCTCCTTCTAAGCCAATACATCGTGAAAATTTCTTTTACAAAAATTAAGCAATTTCAAAAGATTTTGTAAACGGAGTTCAATAATTACAGGAAGTCGCACCATTTAATATTACTGCACAACAGACAAACGAAACGATTTACACAAAGTATTCATGGTTTAATGATTTACATCTAAACTAAAATTACTATAGTTCTCTAAGAAATAGCAATAGTTGGGGGAAAATTTTTGTGTAAAAATGGTGGAGCAAGCAACGAAGTCTAAAAGTATCAAAGGATTTCCTACGGTACTGTACATTGTAAACCAGTGGTGTAACTGCTATGAACACTGGATGAATAGAGTCACGAGCACTCAAGCACCCTGGACGGTGTTATTTATAAAAATAAAGATAAAAAAGTAGGTTTATATACAGTACTGCTCAGAAGTAACTTAACACTGCGTTCGCATTCCATTCGCGTTTCGAAGGCGGCCGGAACGTGTCCCGAACGCGTTCCAAGAAAATTTTTGAACACATTCTGAACGCACTCCCAATAGTTCAAAAAAACTCGATACACCATGGAAATTTCCGAAATTGAACCTTTGTATAGCGAGTATAAGTGATGATTACCAATCAATGATCGGATGCGGCAATCAACGCGTTTTGATACGCATTCCACCTTAAACTGAACGCAATTGAACGCAACTGGAACGCATTTTGGACGCGTTCCGAACGCGTTTTTGGTAAACTTACTTCCAAGCAGTTATGGGCAAGTTGAAGCAGTGGATAGTTCTCATTAAAAGTCATTCGTGAATTCGTGTTCCTTGAAGTAATTTGAAAGTTCCATACTCAATTTTTCTGCAGATAAATCAAAAACCAGTTTATTTTGTTTATAACGATTATTAAGAAAATGTTTATGTTGTCTAGTTGTAAGAGTTGGGGATGTAAGTGCAATAGTGCTGGACCTCAATAGGGCTTTGGGAGCATGCTTTTATAAAAAGGTTTATTTGTAGGTTCTCAAAAATGCTATTGTAACCTTTCCACAACCCCATTTCTCTTCACATTTTGAAAAATCCCAATATTGATCTCTGGAATAACTGGGGGGACATAACCCCATCAGTCCCCACAGTCATCAACAACAAATATTTTCATAAACTACAAGGTAGATTGAAGCTTACATAAACATTTTGTATGTGTGCATATCTACAGTTGACATGGTTTTGATGATCTAATTTATGTTGTACTATATGACAGCATTCTCAAAAAATATTGCTGCACCATTTTGTATTGCACCAAAAACATCATTGCAACTATGCTAAAGCAGAGACATCTGTGAAGAAATATCAAATCAAAGCAAATTTGAATAGAAATAGTGCCTGTTTTCTAATGTAATTCATGTATAGGACAAATTATTTTTAAGATATATCCTTCCTATTAATTAAAAATCTTATTCATCTTTTATCTATAGCATTTACTGTGAAGACAGCTTCCATTAAATGGACATTTAAACAAACTATAAACAAATCTCATGTTCAAATCATGTTTGCATCAACTCCAGCACAATATGAAACATCGCTAAACTGATTTGCAGATGTTTTCTCCAATGAATGCAAAGTACATTGTTTACCACCAACCCTAACCTGCAGTTGATCATTCAATTTTATAGTTTGTTTGAGCCAGTCGGTAGAAGCTGCTCTCAATTCATCAGAAATATACACACAATATGTATGTCCATCTTTCTATCACAGAAATATTATTATAGGTGCCATTTAGGGCTAATATATCTATTGATAGATGGTGGCGAATTCACTTTGTTTGACATTTGTCACAATAAGCCTGGGCTTCACTCTTCAGTTGCAACAGAAGCACAAGCACAAGATTATCAAAACTCTCTGTTCTTCATATATGCGTTAATGCAAACGAGCACACTTATATTTATGGCTATTTTTATATTCCAAGTGTTAAGTGACTTGGCAATTGAAGCTGATTCTGGTGCACTTGACACAGGGATGATAAACAAAATTTGATATTATACAAACAAGACAGGATAGTCTTTCTAAAGCAGCTGGAAAATGTCATATACCTCAAAACCGACAGTTTTGTACTTTTGTAGGCATTGTATATACAAGATAGCTAAACACACGATGTGAACGAAGAAGTAGAACTATGAATGTCACGAATCATTACCTTCGATATTCAAGATATTGATCAATAGATGAACAAGCAGAATCATCCAGCTTAAGATGAAAACGAGTTTGGGACATCGAGAAAGTTTTATCCCCTTTCACCGACTTTTTTCCACTAAATTAAGGTTTAACATTCATAGCAACAAGACACAGCACATTCGCTTCGCCATAACAACAGTGAAAGCCGAAATGGTCAAATGGATTGAATTTGAAAATTGGGTTTGGATTAAGATAAGAGGTTAATCTGTTGAGCAAACCGTCAGTCAATCTTGTACAACAATAGTAATATTTTTGTCATTAAACTTGCCATTTATGAAGCCAAATGATTCTTATAAAAAAGTGAAAAGCCTGTTGTTAAGACTGCAGTGTCTTAATTTACAATGATAATTTTGGATTGCAGCTCCACAGGATTAAGAATAACATTTGCACGCATGATATAATTTGATTGACATTTATGCAATTAACTCTATTTAGTAATTACAGGGAAGTTGGTGTTGAGTTTTGTATAAACATTCATAGCAATGCGATTCAAGTACGTGGTTAACCGGCAAGAAGTGACTAATTGTTAATTTACATATACGATTCTGCGTTGCACGCTTTCACTCTGAAGTTGGTTTTCCATATGGCAATGGCTACAATGCTCTTCTTCCCTCATAATTTCCAAAGCCAAATCTACTCTACACGGAGAAACAGTGAATTTAAAGAACTGAGTTAAACGTTAGTATTTTCTAAGTCACGTCTCAATTAAAACATCCCTAACTGTTAACTAAGATCAGATCAAAATTATAGCATTCTTAAATCTCAACTATATCATCAACATGAACGAAAAAATTCCGTCAAATCATTCATGTGAAGAGCAGGTTTGAACAGCTGTCATAAGATGACTACAGTTTTGGTCAGTAGCAAGATACATTGTATAATTTGTATTGTCCTGACCTAAACATTGGAAACAAAGAGATTAAAAAACCAGGGGTCGTTGTCAGTGTTTTATGAAGATTTAATAATGAATTTGAACAAAAATGACGCTAAAGTTGTGAAAATGCCAAAATAGAAAGGTATTATCAGTCAGAGCAGTTTTGCAACTGAAAACAAACAAAATTCCCGAGAAAAACCACTTTTGTCACATGATCCAGAATAAACTCTCCATAGTTCAAACGACTGATTATAGAAAATAGAATAAATACCCATCCAGCAAAATGGACACAAACTACTCTTTTTACACAACTGTTATTTATATGTACATTTATTGGGTTAGTAATTTTCTCTCTACATTTTCTTCATGATGGCAAAAAATATCCAGTGCAAGGCGTGCGTTTTTTTTGGAAATATGTTGAAAGATACCACAATCCACTCCAAAGTCTTCTTCAGCAAAAATATCCGTAACTGCTAAACATGGGCCAGTTTTCTTCTTCCGGCAGACTTGAAACAAACTAATGGCTTGCGAATACTCTCAACGGGCAACCGTTTAAGCATCAATCAATCTGCGATATATTCATACCAAGCGATCTTTTGTGAGCACGTTCAATGTCTCCTCAGTTAACATTCTAAAAGTAAAAATATACATGAAATTGTGACTTGAATTTGCTTGAGATGGTAAGAATGGCCTAGTAAGTTCATGTGCTGGTACAATATACTTCTTATTTTCAAACATTATATTAAACCCTCCAAACTAAAGCTCACCTTAGTGCATAGTTCGGTACATTCTTAGAAAACAACGCGAAAAGTTGATAGGTATCATTTCTGATCGCATAAGCTTTGTGGTCAGCAGCACAATAGTATGTCTCCATGGCATTATGGGTAAAATCCAGGTCAATATATTCGGGTAAAGGTTTGACAGTCTGTGGAGTGGGAAACAGCGAACCAACGACTGACTTATAGAATGATGTTAAAAGCGATTTACGACGAGTTCTTGTTAAATCTATAGAAAGGAGACAAGTCTTTTGGCCTGCAATCTCTGAAGATGACTACCGCTAAGGTTGTCGAAACGTCAGTCTACATCAATACCAACAGTCCTTCTCAGGACACTATTAACCTAGACGATCTTCATCCACAAACATGTTACGATACTCCCGGGTTAAAACCACTTACTATAAAATTACTGATGTAATTGAGTAATTGGTGAAAGAACCACATTGGTGAAAGACCCACATTGGTTAAAGACCCACATGCAAACTTTTGTCCGTCAATTTACAAGACGTGCAACGACATACATAGCTAATCATACAAAGACATTGAGTTTATCGGCATCATGGTGGAAAGAATGCCTGCAATTGTCAACAGGCAAGCAGCTCTGAATTAAATGCAAGACTAACAACTTTTGCTTTGAGTCAAAGACGTTTTCAACCTCATACCTTCGTTTGCTTTATTATTAAGTGAATGTACACCACCGGGAAAGACGCTACACAAACACTTTCGTTCGTCGGTGTTCACTAAAATAAATCTGAAAAAGAAAAACCACACTTTCCTTGAATGAAAAATCTTCTCATTCTTCTTTCATATGAGCCATATATCTTTCTCTTTATTAAAACCAAACTAATAAATATTAAATTACATCAGTAAATTTCCCCCAATGGTTCACTAGAGAAATTTTTCACATTCAAATGTAAACGTATTTCCACATTCATGTACGTTTTTCTGGGCTTCCTAATGCCAGAAACCTTTATTCAACGGGGCTTTTACAAGTGGCAAAACCATGCATGTTTGAAAAAACAATTGCTATAACTTCTGTTCAAAGACTCGAGTAACACCGAAAGAAGAGACTAGAAGAATACTGACTGACTAAACATTGGGGAAGATAATATGGTGGTATTTCTTCGAAATGGTCAAACATAAAAGGTTTATTTAGTAAGTGAAGAAAATATGACAAAACATACCCAAGAACACCGTTATCCAATGACATTGAAGGGGTCAAATTCCTTGGATGCGAGAGCAAACATTGTTTAACATTATCGATGGCAGGATTCCAGTAATTGAACAAAAACTATACAAACGTTCATTGAAAATACTATTAAATAGTTATTTAAACGAGAATAAAATACTTGAAAAATACCATAGTATTTCTTGTAAGTATAAGAACTTTTAATTAATACCTTCTCCTCAATTTCTAGTAAACTTGGATTTGGCCCACAAATAACGCAAATCTCGACACCCTCCACAATCTACAGAAAGTAAACCAAATACTATGCACAGCCTTGACACTGCTTGATTTATGTTCGGCAAAGGAGGAGGAAAAATCATATCTCATGTTTACAGATGCAAGTCATGATAACAGAACTTGCAGCCGTGGCAAAAAAAACGTGGAAATAAACTATATAATATGGTTGATTGTAAGCAATATAAATATTCTACACCTGAAAAGTTGCGAGTCTGTGAGCAACCTATAAATACATGAAAGGATATTTGACAACAGCAAAAAATCCACGATAAAATCTCATGCTAACTCAAAACAGTTCTGAATAAAATCTTATTTGACTTCAATTGGTTTAGTTTAACAATCCCGTGAAAAGAAACGTCTATTCTTTGTTATACGTGCTACAAACGTATACTGTGTACATATACATACAAGACAAGTAAAAACGTGTGCCCAACAAAGAGTCTTCACACCTTTGGGCTGCCTTGTGGAAGAAAAATCGGAATGTCTCTTGAGGAGCATTCCGGCTGAGACGTAATCAATAGCGATAATAAAACCAATTCTGTACTGCTTAGATCCCACCTAAAATTTGTAAGAAAAAATATATAAGAATTTACCATGAATACAATAAACAAAGGATTGTTTTATGACCACAAAAGTAATGTTACTGGGATTTCAGTGAAGCTATGTTGTGTTTATTCCTACCACCGTCCTGAAGCAACAGCTACTTTTCCCATGACCAAAAGACAACCAAACTCGCTATTTACGGCTTCCACAAAAGCATCAAGATACTCCTGTAGAACAAAGCAATGCTACTTCAAAACCTCAAAATGTTTTTAGTTGAAAATCATCGAACGCTAGACACCATAGGAGAAGATTACGAAAACACAACGTGAACCTTGTGAAACTGAAAATAATCCTGTTTAGAAAACTCAACTGGAGCCCATTTAGAGAACTCAGCTACATTTTAATTGACGAGCCAAACTGAAACTAATTGGGAAAACAGAACTAGAACTTATTTCCACTAGAAAGCATTTTGAGAAACAAACTTGAAGTTAATAGGACAACACAACTAGAACTTAGCTAATATGACAGCCTAACTAGAAGCCAGTCGCAGAAAACCAGCAAGGACTCATTGGGAGAACCCAACTAGACGCCATTATGTAAGTAAGTTGAAGAAACTCGCGTCTATCACGTTAATTACAAAATAAGTCACATTTCACTAAATGTAAAATTACTTTTCAATCCACCTGTAAAACGGCCACATCCATACAAAGTATGACATCAACAGCCAGTGTAAGATAACCACAGAGATCGCTGCCTTCCATAATGCGATCGAAAACGCTATAACAGACCTGCAACAGTTTCAAATCGTGCTCTTTTATATGAGCAAAAAATACATTTGCGCTTGACATATAGTTTGTAAACCTTAAAATTACGACGAATTATCTAAAATACTAATACAGTATTTGATAAAACTTATAAATTTTAGACAAAAAAATTAAGAAATACTTTAAAGTTACATTTCCTGTTAATATCTCTAGAAGATGAATTTAGGGCGAATATGCACGTACGGGATTAAATTTTTGAGTCAAATTCATCTGAATAACTTTATCATGAGATTTTGCTCTAAATATCAGCCGATAAAGGATTTCGTATATTACACTTATTTTTCAAATTAATATTACCCGAAGATCTCGTTTTAGTTTTTCCACATTTTGTGTAGCAGTTACTGCATTTGAACCGACATGAAGAACCTGCAAAAAACAAACTACATGTTAGAATGAATTACATAATCACTGTAATGTAGAGTGAATATATTAATACAACGGTTTTTAGCATATATAAGCGTGATCTTATAAAATATTTTTGAAAAACTTTAAGACTAAATAGTTAACACATCTTCACAGTGCTGATCCACACTAGGAAAGCAAGCCCGTAATTTACTCGAACAAAGCAATTATTTTTGGGTTCAATTACTGAAAAAACATTGAACCAGTGGAGTGCTGGCAGGGGGAGGGGGAAGGGGGTTGTAGCCCTCAGCTGTCTATTTTTGGGAGGCGTGTAATATTTTTACTATAAATTGAAAAGACGTATTTGAAATCATTCGGTTTGTATGATTTCACTTCCAAAAACCTAGGAAATGGCATTTTAGAGCTTCTTAATTTAAAAATTTTCCAGAGAAGCATGGTACCCCCAAGCATGACTCGCGCCTTTGGTGCTCGGCCCAGGCCTTTGGCCCTTGTTTTTTAAGGTCTATATTTGCCCCGCGCCCCTCTCCTTGAGAACTTGTTCCATTCATATACTTGCGCGATAATTTTCGTTTAACACAAAAGATCGGGTATGTCATGTAGCTACTTTACTTACTCCAACAAGCTACCCCATATCTTACCATTGCATTGTAAATGAGATCCAGAAAATTTATCGTGTGAAAGTCACTGGAGTCATCATTGGACGTCACCAAGATAAGAATTACACTAAAAAAATAAATAGATTTTGTTTATCTCTAACTTACAACACGATCATCATTGGACGTCACCAAGATAAGAATTACACTAAAAAATAAATAGATTTTGTTTATCTTTAACTTACGACACGATGAGAGGCGTTGCTGGCTAGCAAGTTTGGTTAGACTATGTAAATTTCAGATAATTAACATAACATTTTTCTTTAGAAATTTGCTGTTGCACAGCGAGTGAATATTTACATGGCACGACCACTTGTGACCTAGCTACGTAACTTGACATAATGACAATGCAAGCACGTGAAAGGCGACCATGACCAATCTCGTTCCGAGGATCTTTTCCTACGCTTGCTCTCCCCAGGGTCATTTTTAACAACCCTAAAATGGCCTTGGGGAAAACAAGGCTAGGAAAAGACCAAAGGAACGAGGTTGGACCATGACGTGATCAATGAACTGACGTATGGACCGCTATTTTAATATATCCTTGATATCCCTTGATATTCCTTAATATTCCTTAAAGCATGTATTTTCGACAAGAACTTTGACCTAATAACGTGAAATATCTCATTTAAAGTGAAATTTGTCAAGTTACCTGTCGTGAAACATTTTCCATACAACTTTTGCATCTCCCTCTGTGATTGTATTCAGAAGTTTGACATCTTGATTTCGTGCAAACATGTGAACTCCATTTAATGAGCCCAAAACAGGAAATGGCAACTTTAGAAAGTTGAAGAAATTGTTTAGGTGAGACTGCCATTGTTGTTCATTGTGGTTTATTTTTCCTAGCTTTCAAATTAATAGTTTAAACGAAGCATAAATGAAAACGTCAGGCAACTAACTAAAGCTCTCACTGAGATGCACACAGACCAAAAAACATTTTAGTTAGTTTTTAGTTAATAAGTAAAGAACAGTGTGAACAATATGTTTTCAAATTTTATAGCTATAGTACTTTTAAAAAATATTTGCCCATTAAAGGCAAATATGCACAACTCTTTTTCAACCTTTAAAAGTCAATAATTATTAAATGGACAACAAGTGCTATAAGTTATTAATTTTGATTTGGTTAGAGTAATAGCAATTGTTTTCCCTAAATGGAAAATTTGTCTTGCATAAGGGAATGTGCACTTAAAATTCTTAGCTTTCCCTTTATGCACACTTTTATGTTCGTAAACTATCTTTCTTGATATTTATTATGAAAATAAAGTATTTTGTGATCAATTTTTGCAAATATCATCAATAACATTAAATCTCATTTTCATGGTAACTAAGAAAACCTTGTGTTATTTGTCAACCCCCCTCTCCCCCACACCCCTAATGCAAGTGTGTACACAAAGCTGTATCATTGCCATCATTGGCACCTTAGTTCTTTCATTTAGATGAACACAACTATGTTCTTTTTTTAATTCAAATTTAAGGGTTCAAATAATTCATAGCCAACCAAGGACCACAGAACAGGGGGTAGGCCCTTTCCACAATAAAAAAATATGCTCCATGACAGCTGACTAAACATAATTTCTAATACATGAAGTACGCCTAAATGAGACTAGAAGTGTTTTAACTGGTTTTAACAAGTAACACTTTTACTGCCAGTCTGCAATACATATAACAAAGTCAGTAAATAAATATAGAAACTTTTAAAACCATCATAAACTCCAAATGTAGTCAGTACCTTTAATTTGCATTTCCTTTAGAGTGTTTACCTGAGGAAGATCACCTTTAGTTCTCGTAAACAAAGGAATTCCACCTTCAGCCGTCAAGGCAACCAAATAAGACGCCATCTTGCTTTCGATCCATGCGCATGCGTCAAGCTTTTTCAAAAATTCTGTAAACTAAAACAAGAGAACAAAGAGGACAGTCATCACACTTTCAAGTCGAGCTAAAACATTGCAGCCATCATCAAAAACTCTGATTTTAACAAAATCTAAAGATGATTTACTGTGGGGATTTGAAAGCTTTTCAAACGCTTTCATGTCAAAATATATCCCTAACTCAAAGACGCAAACTATGTTCGCTGTCAAAAATTTGCAAAAATAGTCAATCATCGATATCTAACATTTAGTAAAACGTTTAGTAAATGTATTTCATAACAGCACACAAACCCCATCCATTGCACTGAATGCTAAATGAAAATTATTTATTCTTTGACGGCGACATGTTATTTTATGAGTTGCAATCTTGTTGACATCTGAGATGAGTTCTGACTGTTCTGATGTATCATATTTCGGTTTTAACAATATCGTCATGCAGTTTTCCTCTGTTTTACAAAAACTCAACTTTTTCAAATTTATTATCCTCTTAAAAAAATTTGGGACAACAAGAAATTGCAGTTACTTAATTATTGCACGTCGACAAACAAAATCAGCATTGAGCATTTTCCAGTCATTTTTGCATGTGAATCGATCGTTGTCTACTTGAATATAGTCCGTGAGAGAAAATTCATAATTAGTGTGTAAGTCTGTCGAGGTCAAACTGAAAAGAAAATTACGTAAAATTAAGTAATTTCCTGAAATCTCGACTCTAGTCAAGTCAATTTAAAACGCCAATTCGACCAATTGAAGAAATCTCAATCTTGCTGATTTTTTCCATGATTTTTGTACTATAATTTTACCTAATGGCTATTCCGTACGCTCAAAGAGCATGTTACTAACACAACACAATACTATAATTTAAAGTGCTTGTATAATGGTCAGGGAAGTAACTCCTTTGGATTATTTAACTGATTTTATTTTAAGAACACTTAAGAAATAAAAGATATTTACTGTGTTTGCACGGGCTTATGCAAACCGAGGAGACCTTTGGGAGAACTCGAAAGTAGATCAGTGCAAGGCCGAGACCGAAGGTCGAGGGTTGCACCGGCTCGAGAGTTCTCACAAACGCCTCCGCGAGCTTGTTTTCTTCGAGATACTACATCTCACTTGCTTACGATCGAATTTAAAACTCATGCAAATTCTATTCCTACAAATGTCGAGTGTTTCTTGGCAACAAATGATAACAAACCACTTTCGACCAATAAGAGAGTGAGTTAAATATACAGATGGCTGGTGGTCGTCCAACTTGATTTCAGCTGTGACTTCAGTGTGAGAATGGCGTGCGTTACGAAAGCTGTCAGTTTTACTTTTATTTTGCTAGCAATAGGTGTATCTCATTGTGAAAGCATATTTTGTTATACTGACAGCTATTGTAAATCTGTATCATTGTTTTATAGAAAATGTTGTAATTTCAAATGTAAATACAATTGCGACACTTGTTACTCAAAGAGCGATTGCTTTGGCTCACAAGGTTGTTGCTCAGATTGGAAATGTTCGTATAATTGCTTTGGAAAAGCTTGCACATTTAACTCAGACTGTGCTCCAGGGGAATGCTGTGGTTCTGATCATCGTTGTAAGTATGGCAGTTGTTTAATGAACACTCGTAGTATGGACAGTTGCTATCATGATAGCGATTGCTCAATAGGAAAATCCTGTTGCCCTGATCAGAAATGTTCGTATAGTTGCTTTGGAGAAGCTTGCACATTTAACTCAGACTGTGCTCCAGGGAAATGTTGTGGTTCTGATCATCGTTGTAAGTATGGCAGCTGTCGGATTAAAACTACAACTCGTAGTTGTTCATATGGTGATTGCAAAAGTCATACTGGTCTTGCTGCCTGGATTATCGCCGTCATTGTGATCAGTATTATTGCGATTATCGTAATACCCGTTGCAATTGCAATATTTTTTTGTTGTTGTGCTGCTACTGCAGCAACATCTTCTACACGACGTGTTCAGCGTGGCGTGATAGTTATTGCACCTTCTACAACTGGAACTACAGTCGTATAAAGGAAGCAACAACAGAATCAGCAATACTTTATGTCACAAGCAACATATCCTCAAGCTCAAACTTATCCCAATCAACCGCCACCACCATATCAACACTCTCAACATCTAACTGTAGTCGGAATGCCATCCCAGTTGGTAGAAAAACAATAAACTGCCCATCTTAGATAAGCTTTACAAAAGTTTTCTCTGTGAGTTAGGAGACTTAAACGCAAAACTTTACTTACGTAAACATTTTGCTTGTAAAATTTCCACATATATAGTGCCTTAGATAGCTAGTGGTGCCTCGTTAAAAAACATAATGATAAAATTTTAACTGTTATAACTACACAAATATTAACAAGCTAAACCATTTCAGGGAAAATTAATAAATAGACATAGCACTTTTAATGCTTAACACTTGAACTTTCTGTAATGCATGTTTTTCAAATCGAACATTTGTAAATAAATGTTTTTCAGTTTCACTAATTTTTGAGTTGATTTGTTATTTCCTGATCTAATACAAAAAAAACTTGAAAAATTTCTTTAAAGTCTCAGTGAAAATGTCATAAACCTTTCAATGTACGTAATTTTGAGTTTTATGCACAATATATGATCAATAATTCAATACCAAGTATTGCCAACACTTTTAATTATACTGTCCTCACAAATGATAATTTTTATGAATTTTTATTGATCTAACATGTTACGAATAACAAGTGGTAAGTATCCGAGTTTGCGGTGCAACTTTGCTGAAGACGAAAACATATTGCAATGCAGTGTACATTTGTAGAAGCTAGTGCTATGTTTTAATTATTGACAAAACAACTATAATGTGGTAAAAGGTATTGAAAATTTTATACGAGAAAATCAATTCAAACATCAACTTGAAGCTTCGAGCCATGAGAGTTGTTTGGAGAAGAAAGATAAAAATAGTTCATTTTGAAAAAGCTAAGGATTTATAGATTATTCTACTAGATTACTAGTTAGTTCTTTTCACTTAGATTGAATGGAGAAATTCTTATAATTCTTATTTCAACTTTTGACAGTCCCACAAATGACCATTTCTAAGTTTGGGCAAACATTTTACCGAGTGAAACAGCCGTTCACCATACTTTAATCCAGAGCAAGTTAGTGGTGATTTAAAAGCATAATAAATACCAGACTATAAGCTCTTATTCACAGCTACCCATAAAAGAACTTCCCAGATGTTAACGCTGTTAATTATTGATCGTATTTTGATTAACGATAAAATTTTTATGGGAAAACATTTAAAACAAATTTGGTATTTTTCCATTCTTTAATTAAGTTTAATTTGATGTCGTGTTTCCTTTATCCATGCAGCAAGTCATAATTACGTTTTAGATTAATTAACTATTCTTGCCTGCCCAGAATGCAAAAGTATTGTCAAAAGTCAGCCTTGAAAATAATGGTTGACATGTCAATCACCAATGACATAAAAAGCTATTTGTCAGCCATTTTTCAAGACTTGATTTCATGAATCTGAAAAATAGAGCAGCACTGCCATTCAAACTATGTTTTAGCACTGTCTTTTACAATCTTTATTGATGGTTGACGTATTGTATAATGTAGGAGAGGAAGTATATACACAATAGAGAATGCACTCACTAAAAAAATCTGTTGCATTCACTACCTCTGCACGAAATCTAAAACAGCTTTTTGAGAATGGCAACAGAGCCAAAACAAGCAGCTGCAAGTGCAATCAAAACAAACCTTGACTATAAAAAGAATGCGAATTTATGTAACCAGAACCATTTGAGTATAAAAAGTTTAATTGGTGACATTTGAACAGTATGTCTTTTAAAATTGCTGTTGTCTTTGTGATAATTTATATCTTTGGAGTGTTATGCTCAACTGACAGAAAACAAAATGTTAAAACAGCACAGGTAAAGTGGTAAATGTATATGTAACAACTTTATTAATTTCTTAATCAAAAGAGGCATAGATCTCTAGAAGCAATTTTTTGAGATTATGCAATATATGAAGGCTCGAAATGAAGAAATAGCAGAAGCTGGTCCTTTTATCAAACGAGGATGTCTTCTTTTTGATTATCAGCTTTTAAAACTCTCTCTCAATATCCTCTTCAACTTAAGAGGTCTTAAACTGCCACCACTTTGCACGCACGAATCGTCAAGCCTCAATTACAATGTTTCCCATTGTATCCAAGAGATTTCATTCTCGAAATATTGTGTAGATTCAAACTATTTGTCACGAAACAACGATAAAAATCATTATTTTGAAATACATTCATATAGAACGTACGTAGCATGTATAATCATCATCTTTGATCTCATTCATTGTTGGAAAAATTTATAGTCATTATTTCATTCAACCAACTTCCTCACAAGCGAAAAAAATAGATAAACGCACCAAGATCATACTATATTAACTAAAAAACATTTTGTTATTACTTAAATAAAATATTTTGCTGGTGACGATGACAACAAGCAAAAAAATTACCCTCATGCTGTAATTTTATTTTGCATTTTTGGCAATGATTGTCCCGGTGGCGGTGCAAGAATGTGCTGTACTTGGAGATGTTTCCCACGATTTGTCCCCGTGGCAGTGCAAGAATGTGCTGTTCTTGGAGATGTTTCCCACGATTTAGTTACAAAAAACCTTTTTGTCTTTTTGTATAACTATTGTCCTGGAGATATATGAAAAACTGCTAATATTATTATTTTGAAGACAATAAATAAGTAATAAGAATTAATGACAGAAATGTTTGCAAATGCCGAACATAAAATAGATGACATTGATAATGATAGGCTTTGATAGCTAAGTATAGTTACTATCATGGAGAAAATGATGACACAGTAGACAACATTGATGTATAGTATATGGCATTGATGTATAGTATATGGCATTGATGTATAGTAGCTGGCATTGATGTATAGTAGACAACAGTGATGATACGGTATATCATTTTGATAATAGAGCAGATTAAAAGTGATGATAGTGAATAGAAAACAACAATGTAAAATAGATGACTGCGATGATAACTTGTTTGAAATTTAATTTTCAATTTCTTCCATAGAAAGCCATCCTTTATAAGATTGTCATTACCAGTTTAATTCGTCAAACTTCAGTGAGCATTGACTAACTATAACTCTCTTGTTTTTTAAAAGATGGCGTTGTCGGTGAAACACAATCCTAATCTAAAAGCTGTCCATCACCAAGGGTCCTCCACATCACATGGATGAGAAGTTTTAATTTTTATAATCTTGGTAAATTGTATTTTATGAATTTACTGTGAACAAGTCATCATTAGAATTAAAAATTCTGTGTAATTTTGCCACAACTTTTGTGCATTATTCACGCAACATTAGTTTGAATTTCTTCAACTTTGGTGTCATATTTAAAATTTATTTATAGTTTATAAAGTAACTAATTAAAGTATAAAATAAAAAGATTTGATAGAATTTTACAGTTTAATAATTGAATAGTCAGTGTGGTATTGGCGTTATGTTTCTTGAACTAAAAAATAGTACAATGCATGGTGCATAGAAAAAATTCAGTAAGGTTTAAAACTTTACTTGACAATTTCAAATTTATAACTGAAAATTATTACACTATATTATCATGTATATTTTGAAGTACATGCAGTCACAATTTTACATTTCTGATTCTACTCAACAAACTTTACAATAAAAAGATTACATTTCATTTCACATATGGGCCAAAATTACGACTGCCAAAAAGTATTTTAGTAAAACAATGAACGGACATTGCGTACAATGCGTTTCAATCGTTTTTGTATTTCACATTTGATAACTGACAGTTGAGAATTTGACACTCAAGCACACAAACACATAAATCTCAAAACATGGCATATAAAATTGTCCTGTCTTCCAAATTTTCTTCAACGTCTTTTATGTAATTTAGTACATTGAAAAAGATAATTAGCTCGCTCATAATTGAAGCCTCGTGAAATTATGTCTCACTAATGTGAACATATCTTCGAAAAAAGCGAAACGTCATTAGTAAAACCCTTTATACCACAAAGCATAAAACCTTTCTTCATCCATTGTCAACACAATCAACGACGCAATTTTCATGAACGGATCCTCAATCTACGTACGTGCTACACAGCAAACAGGTTCAAACAAAACTCGAAATCTTCGCTTCTCAAGTCTCGTGTTTACTGGCTTACTTGCTTCAAAGTACGAACCAGCACAAACAAGTCACAAACACCTGTTATTGTGACATAAGTATCATATTGTAAGGAGACTACAACGAACTAAAAAACTTTCTCAGAGTATCTTGACTCATTGGCCCTGACATATTGAAGAGCCTTTTCTTTATAGCACGTTTGTTACTTGCCATTTTATCGGGAATGCATACGCTTGTAAAGTTGTTGCTGTCATTTATTAACAAACGCCTCTGATTAAACTCTGCATTATCCACTTCTTGCAGGCATAAATTGGAAAATAAACAATTTCCAGTGCTACTATAGAGAGTTTCGTTTATATTAATCTCCATGTGTAAGATCTCCATTATAGACGACCAATCAGTTACTTTTGTGGTTACACCAGTGTCCTGCACTCATGTTGAATTTTACCATTAGAAATGTCTGTTATATGTCATTCTTCAGTACACTGTACATAATGGTTTTGTTTACATGCTGAAAGATATATATGAATAAATTCATCTGCTGTGCAGAACAATCTTTGTGATATTGTAGTTTTTGAAGCAACGAGTTGTAGATGAATAGCAGCGTTAGTTAAATGAATGAGCTTCTGTTTTCAAACATTCTTCTACATTTTCTGAGCAAATAGCTAGCATCAAGGATAGTGAATTATTATAAATGACAAGGTTTGAAATGATTTGTAATTTCTACTGCTATTTAATACACGAAATTTGTTGTAAAGTCTCTGAGTCTCTCTGAATATACGCTCTTATATATTCATACAAGGAAACAGATGACATTTGAATATTTTTGTCCTGAATAAATCATTAACGTAGCTAGTTAGCTGTTCCTTTCTCATCTCCATACATGCTATAGACTGTATTATTTTTAATTTACAATACTTGGATACCATCATTGCATATGACACAAATATTAGATAATTTTAATCTCTTAGTTATTCATCAAGTTTAAGCAAATATAGAATAAACATAATCAACTTTTTTTGTTTACACTTTGAACTGATCTCAAGTTCCGTCTGTCACATCATCACTGATAAAATCATGACCAACTAATACTTCCTTAATTACTTTTAAAATGTATTTGAGATGAGTTTTTCGTTACAGTTATGGACAGGAATGCAGAGTTGTTGTTCTTTGAGAAGTGTAGTAAAGCACCACCCTTCTTCGTATTGACCAATAAAGTTGCTAGCTCTTGTTCAGTTTTTAAGCCAGCAAAGACCAATATAACACATTCATGAATAAAAATGACACTGGGAAAAAAACACGGCACACACGATCGATGATGTGACTCAAAGAAAACTTACGGTTTGTATTAGGAATGGCCGCTTTTTGAGGACACTTGTTAAAGAGGAATGAATTGCAACAAGCAAAGTGTAAGTCATTTTTCGCAAAAGCCAGGTACAGAGATCTTGTTTCACCATTTTCATCAACCAAGCATGGTGATGTTGGCTCTTGTTGTTTCATTGCCTCAACTTTTTTAGAATTCTCCTATTATGAGGTAAATATGTACTCACGTTTTGTTTGAATGTGAGATTCTATAAATATTGGTTCAACTAATTAAGAAAATTAAATTGTTTGCATTACAAATTCGGAATTATTGTCAAGTCTACATCGTAGACGTATGAATTACAAATCAAAGAGTGACTTGCCAGGTGAATGATTTTCAACAGTGTTTTTTCATTTTCAAAAAACGTCTGAGTTTTTTAAAAAACAAATAGTTAGTATTCATTTGATTTTCAACTTAAAGAAATATTTAACTTACATATACTGCCAAAAATACATATCTTTATCATTTTTAGAAAAATATTAAATATTTCCTAAAATGTAAAAAGTGTTTGTTTATAAGTATATTTAAGTAATTTTGTATTCAATATAAGTAATCTTGTTTTAACTATTTCATCTTGTAATCTAGTAATTATGTTGTCATGTAAATGTTTGTCGAAAGATGGATTGATAAATTTAAATGCAAAATCAAAATAATATTCATGAGATGGAATTTCTTAGAAACAGCTTAGTCTTTGTACTTACCCTGGTCAAGTTGTTCGGCTTGTAGCTCTTAAGCTCGTCCATTTTATTTTTATGATTTTCTTCTTTCGAGATGTCATCATCACGAGAAAATTTGAAAACAATAAGAGACTCAATCAAAGTACTGAACACAAACATGAAACTTGTAATGAGATACCAGTCTATGGCTTTGGCGTAGCTTACTCTTGGCATTGAAGAATTATTCGTACCAAGTAGGAAAACTATAGTTAATATTGTGGTTATACCTAAAAAAATATAAAGATGTATATAAGTATAAGACGTTGAACGTTGCATCTTGTGTAAAAGGTGTTTAAACAGACCAACTGTTGAAATGCAGTTAATTCCACTATTTCAGTGTGACTTAACTTTTAATGACAAAATTGAACACAACATGTCATGATTAGATTTATTATATCATAAGAACTGTTTTAAAGTTTCATTTTGCCTGCGCGTGTTATAAATAAATTTTAATCAATTAATTATCTTTTTCACAATTCCAGCAGTGTGAAATAACATTGAGAACATTAGCTACATAGCGGTTTTAAAACACTTTTGTTAGTTTTGACAGACATGAAATTAAATCTACAAACACAAGGCGTATAACAAAATAGGGCGTATAACAAAATAGGTCAGAGGAAAAGCAAAAGAAACGCGTGTTGTCGTTTAGCAGTCACTAAAACACAATAAATACGAAACAAAATTAAAATCCCCTTGACCTAATCATTGTAGATATAAGTGTATAGGAAGTCCCATTTACAAAAATGTGTAAACAAAAACCTAAAGAAACTCGTTCTCCAATATCCTTCGGGTCAATATAAAATGACATCCAACTGAGGATTGTGATGATCAAACTTGGAAAATAAGCTTGTATCAGATAGAAACCCATTCGTCGTTTAAATTTGAATGTTGCGACGAGACTCGAGTATTTTCCTGAAATTCATATTTTATTTGTTATTTTGATAATTTCTGCGACAAATAAATATTTTCTTCCTCGAAATTGATACTTTTGTCATACTATCAGAGTACGACGTACAATCATTTATACATTCAAGCTTCATTACCTGCTGGATATGACACATTTTCTACTGTGCATTTGATGTCGGATTCGATATCACCGATTTCAAATTCAGCCATTTGTGTGTTTATAACTTCAATTGGTTTGTCTGTGACCCACAACAATTGCATGTGATCTTTCTTGTACGCATCTATGCTTATCAGGGGAACATGGAAAAATTTTGCCACAAAAACAATAAGAACCATGTGATGGAAAATTCTACTTACAACTTTCAAAAGTCAATTTACATTCTTGTGCATCCATCGGAAATTTTTTCAGTTCCATTTGACATGTAGCAACTATCGTGATTCTAAATAACATAAGTAACTAGTCTATAGATGAGTTGGCGTTAGCCTGTACAAAACCATAGGAGCTCAAGCAATTAAATTAATCAATGATACTTTGCAAATCAATCATGACTACATGTTATAGGAAAACTTTCCCATTATAGTTATTGTATCGAAGAAACAAAACATTTTTCCTTCTTTGCGCAGACTTATGCAAACCCTGGAGACGTTTGTGAGAGCTCTCGACCATCGGTCTCGGGCTTGAAATGATCAACTTACAAGTTCTCCCAAAGATCTCCACAGTTTGAATAGGCCTGTACAAACACATTAAACATGTTTTATTTCTTAAATCTTTGTCGTGATTAAACTGTATGGTATAGTTGAGCGTAGGAGAATATTTTATTGTAAGTGGACAGTTTGAGAGACGTTTTGTGATCATACTGCTATTTAGGGATAAAAGAATAAAAATACAGTAGTATATATATTTATAACAACAAGAAAAGATTCTTGTCAGACTTTCTTACTTAATGTCTGGCAGAGATATTACACTAAATAAAAATTTTACACCCCAATACAAAATACATTACATCACTAGTACTCTTTATGTTAGATGGGAGCAGTGTGACCTTATATGCAGTTTTTTACTTGATTCGGTCGGATGAGCATAGACACTCCCCCTTGTTCTCAACTTTGCAAATATATCATGAATATGTTTAAGGTCATCACACCAAATCTAGAAAAAATTGTGCGTGCCATACTAAATCGGAGAAAAACTAAAGCTAAGATTCTACCTTGCACTGTAATATATATTGCCATCGTGATGTATGTGAATTAATTGGTTGTCTTCATGAAGTATATATTGGTTGGAATTTGTTACATATATATCAGGAATCCATAATCTCTCGTTGACTTCCTTTCCTTTTAAGGATAAGTGGACGGAAAAGTTGTGTTGAAGACGAGGATCTTGCCATTTTTGAATAAGAAACACACTAGATGTGAATTCCTGTGTTTTGAAAAAGTTCAAGTTCGTAACATTATTCCAAGTCAAATAGTTCTTATTAACTTGTAGGCATTTTGATCCAAAATGGCACATGGTATATTGTTATGATAGCTACATTCATTGTTTTAAAAGTCTTATATGATATAAAATATTGACACAAACCATTGTTGATTCTTTAATATCTCTAAACTGTTGAATCTGCCCCTTCACAGTTATTGTCACAGATTGTTCTAGAAAAAAATAAATCACTCGTACTTGTGTGACATATATGTCAAAGAATATTTTTCGATAAAAGTGAAAACTTCCGTCGTTAAGTGAAACAACAAGCAGCTGTCTCCATGGGCGTACGGGGCCAAAAATGGGGTTCTGACACTTTCTTGATCGACGAAAACGAAAATTGCCCGACATTAAATTCATTGACATAAAAAACACTATATGCCTGGATTGCTTTTCTAAAACATATCAATAAGGTCAATAACATCGCTAAGTTGTTTTAATACTTCATGTTTCTATATTCATTGCTTTAGTACTTTAACTTTTACTGACTGATATTTTACTATACTTAGCTATTTTTGAATAAAATATTTTGTCCATTTATCATAAGCTTAAAGGTCACCGATTTCTACTCATTTCTAACTTGTTGGAAATTTTGCACAAAGCAGCAAAAACAATGCATGTAAGAACAAAAAATAGCTATAATTTATTGCAAATAATGCATAGAAGTCCATGGATGGTTAAAAAACAAGCAAGAAATAAGAAGTGATGTAGGAAAAAGAGGGCTCGGGAGAAAGGACTTGCTAGAAGATTTGTCAAATAATTTATTGTGTGACTATGAATTCATTAGTCAAACATAATACAAATGAGATCAGTACGAATTCGACAAATGATTATCAAAGAGTTACAAAGGTATAACACATGGGAAATGTAAATACGGCGCAAAAATTGTAAATTTCTCCATGCTTTCAATTTCAATGTTTTTGCATTTCTGTGCAACATAAAGCATCCTATCCTACTAGATGCTCATGATCACCTTGGCCTCAAGCACTGAAGAAACCTTTGCAAAGTTTGCATGACAGTTCCATGAAAAAGGGCTTAGTGATGGAATGTAGTTCTTTTGCCCACAAATAGAAATAGCACATGACGCAGAAGAACAATGACGCTTTAAAGTTCAGACACTTAATAAAAGACAGTATTATTTCGATAAAAGATTGTGTTATTTTCCCTTTTACGATTTTTCTTAATGCAATTGTCCTTCCGTTAGAATTCAACCATAAGAAAAGAATTAATATAAAGTGAAAAAAACAGCACTTTTTTCAATACACTTGCTTTGAATATTTAATTGTCTTGGTAGTTTTCTGTTGTCATACGATGTTAAACTGTCAACTTATTCCACTAATATATATTTAATTCAATTTAAATGTGAAAGCCAGAAAGACGTAATGACGTATCGCAAATATTGCAAGGTAAATTTTAAAGCCTTAATATGGTTTAGATAAAGAAAATACTTTTTACATATTTAAACTACGCGCAAATGCTTTTATCCGACAGCATTGTTCAAATAAATAGCAAAAGAAAAGGTCAAAGAGAATTTTCCCGGTAGTAAAATTCCTTCCTTTTTGCTTGTTAAAATTAGTTTTGTTAATTAAAGTGATAAATTTATTTATTATTTTGTCAAAAAAAAGACCAAATAATGCATGACAATTGAGTAGAAATTTCCCGCCGTTACTCCTTTTGCTCAAAATTGGGTTTGCTGCAGCATCCCCAGCACCCCGCCTCGTACGCCTATGCTTGTCTTTTATTTACTTTTTATTGTAACGTTATTTATCTAATTTTATACTGTGATACAAGGCTTCATACAAACCACGGTGGATTAAGATATAGTTAACGTTTCCAATTGAGTTTGATCATCCAACTTTTTTATATGAAACTGCAGCTTAATAACTCTTACTTCGTGTAAAGGGTCGAGTGCGAATATCGTAGTCTTTCAATAGAACATTCAAGCAATACGTGGCATTAGTAGTCTCTCTTCTATTACACATTTCCTCCACTTCTCTAAATTATAAAACACGATATGATATTAAAAGTGATATTTAGTCTATTTCTTTGTTATAATTATAAATTAATCATATGGATATAATTTCATGTTAATTTTTCAATTCTGTGCAAAACGTTGTGACCATGCTGTGAAAATCTCACCTCCATGCTGCAATAGATTATGGCAGGAAGACTGGGACTACTAGCTCTGTCGCCATAATCAAAGGCATTGCAAAACAGTTGTCGAAATTTTGATAATTCCACCACTTTTTTCTTAATGCATATAAACATGCTTTACTTACCCAGAGACGTGATCGACGGGTAGCAGTGCAATGATCCCGAACAGAAATATCATTTTTGTTTGAATTTCTATAAAATAACAAATAAATTAAACAGCTTGTTGTTATCGTAGATCACCTCAAAAATTTCTTTGCCATTCATTCTTTAAGTGGCCTTGCAGTTCTGTTTTATTTGAGGGTAAAGTAGCTCTTAGAATTCGATTTAGTTCATTACATGCGAGCTTAGTGGGCAGCAGATCAGACAAATGTTGAGGCCATTTCATGATTCCAATAAAACCAATCCACAGAGGCATGCTGGGAACATTTTATCTGGGGTGGCCTTTATTTAAAATGCACCTTTATTATAAAGACCTGAGATGAGTACCTTCGGTACGAGGCATGCTTGTAAGCATAAAATCATCATGCGCAGTACATTTGCAAAATATATTTCATTTACATTTAATGCCAATCTCACTGAAATAAATGTTGATTAAAAAGCATGAACGATAGACTTTTAACAATAATTTGACGAGATAAATAACGTGTTGTGCCTATATTGATCAAAGATGTTCTTCTATAGCATGTTTTCTGATGTTGCTTGAACACTGTGAAAACCGACTGGTTAAAATAACCACATGATTGTTTTAAAGTAAGCATTAAAAATATTGATTAAAGTGATTAAATACATCTGAGGTAACTAATTTTTATGGTTATTTTAGCCAATTAGTTTTTACACTGAAAGTGCAAATAATATTGTAGCTTTTCAGAAAAGATCAGCTGACAGCAGTATTATACAAAGGCCTTTGTTAATTCTAATGTGAGACGTCAAAATGCTGTATAATAATATGCTCCTTTTCCAGAGACATAAAAATCATGGTTATAAATTTAATTATAACAAGTGCTTCGCGTTTGGACAAAACATTTTGAAATTTGTAGTACCAATTTATCACCTAAATACGATTATCTATAAATGGATGCTTCCCTATAACTTCATTATTATTTGCAGAAATAACTTCATTATTTCATATGCATTTTCCCCAACCAATTTCAAAATTTGGAACCTATATTGATTTCTGCATCCCCAAAAATTTCTTTCACGTGAATTTTTGATTGTCTTCTCTTGATATAGGTAGACTGAAGAGATGTAGTATATCACCAAATGGCACTCGTGCAGTTTAAGAGAGACATGGATGCTTAAGGGACACATGCACATTAAGTTGATGATTCTTATTGTGGTAAATTCACTCCTCTGGTTGCTTGAATTAAAATATTCATGAAAAAGTCATGCTAATGTTGAATAAAGGTTTTTGTCATGAATTAGGAGGTGCATGATTGAGCTTTTAAAATGCTGGGAAAAGTATTCATAATGTACGTTTATATATGTCAAATTAACTGTTACATGGTGCATTGCAAAAGAAAAAGTTGCTTGTCATAAATATTTAAATATTTTGATATGAATAACGTACATCCCACACAACGTATTTTTCATTGCGTGGTGAAATATTTCTGTCAGTTTTCCATTTTGCATCCGATTATTTTAAGAAAGAATATTTTCTCCTTCACATATAATATACATTTCAAGACAGTAATTGCTTTCCTTTTTACAATCCCACTAAGATTTGACCCCAGCTTGGGTGTTCTAACAAAATTTTCCGTCTTGAAATTATTAAAGTCCATAATGATATTTGAGTTTCGCAACAAAATCATGCTTGGTATGAACAATTTGTTAAAAATACATGCATACATCATAAAATATTTCAAGAGATAATATTATGTCGATAACCATTGTCCATTAAATGGACACAAAATGCCTCTTTCTTTTAGTCATGTAAAATTGTTTTAGCATGAGGCTTTGTATTCAACTGCATTTTGTACATACCTTAGAAATGAAAATACATTCGCTTTTATACACCGTCTTAGAACTCACCGCAGTCTGTTATACACGTCCCTGACCTAAAAATATTAATAATCTAACTTTCGCCTATCCTTAAATCAAATCAGTACAGGTGTATTTGCCTCGTTTCACTCATTTTGTGGTTTTGACCACATATCTAAATTCAGCTTTTTCTATCACGATTGATGTTGGATATTGCCTAACTTTTCAATGACGTCTTATTCATTAAAATAATAAAAATAAATAATTCAGTTGTTTTTATGTCTCTTTTACCTGTGTTCTTCGTTTTTGTGTCTGAATTTTTATCGATTTATCCAACTCTTAATAAATACATTCAATATGAACTGCTTACGATCATGTGCCAACCTAATCAAATTTCGACATGCGCAAACAAAGTCAATCTCATTTTGAATGGACTGTTTTCGAGCAGAGGCTTAAACACAAAAGTAACTATTTCTTATCCTTCCAAACGATTTTTCATCGCAGTTAGAGACCCGTAAAGAGACTCTAATAATCCTTCCTTGATTACTACTTTGTTCACTCTTTGTTCTGACGTTGGTTTCAGTTAAATCAAAATAATTGAATAATAGAAGAATTTCGATAGTTCCATTAATGTACTGATAAATATACTTCGATATCTGCATGTAGTGTTCTCAAACATATAACAAAGGTAAAGAAATAGTATAAAAAGGTAGTTCACACTGTTCAAGTATCAAGCTATTAATTTGACACTTTGCTGAAGGGCTATACGACCACTGCATGGGTTCGCCACTATGATCAAGCTAACAAATGTTGGGTTTTCAAGAAAAGTTTTTAACCCATGTAGTGGAATATTCGTTTCATAAAATTAATAGAGAATCAGGCACAAAAGAAAAAACAGCTGCGACACAAATAAATTTTTAAATACTTGTATTTCTTCTTCCCTTTTGATCGTGCAAGTTGCAATTAAGTTTAAAATTTAAAGCTCAGTGTTTTGAAACTATTTTTATTAACCCTAATATAGTAGCTTCTTTTAATTTTGCACGCAATTCAGCTTCCTTGCGACAAGTAGGTTCATAAATCTTAATATCCTGAACAGTGAACAAACAACAATAAATAAACTTAAAACAAACAAACGCAAACTCAAAAGCATTCTGCTTATACAACACAAATTTCCACAAAATGCCCATTTTTACAATGCTATCATTATATCAGCCAGTGGTGTACCACGTGATAAACAAGCAATAAACAGGTGACAAATAATGTTACTACAATGTTCTGTTACTTTCTCATCAAAATTTGTAAATTTAAACATACGATACAATGTATACATACTTAACGGGTAGTGTTTTTGTGCTTTAAACCTACTTACTATCCTTTCCCTTCTTTTCTTTCTTTTCCACCATCACCTCATCGGTAATCAAGTCATGATCATCTGGTACGCTGGTACAACTCTTATTACTTTTGAGATTTATTTAAATCAAGTTATTTATTGGATAGGAAATGATTGATCTTTATTCTTTAAATAGTTTAGTAAAGCACCATCCTTCTTCGTATCGACCAATAAAGTTGTTAGCTCTTGTTTAGTTTTTAAGCCAGCAAAGACCAATATAACACATTCATGAATAAAAATGACACTGGGAACAAAACACGGCACACACGATCGATCATGTGACTCAAAGAACAATCTGTATTATGAATGGCTGCTGTTTGAGGACACTTGTTCATTAGGAATGAATTGCAACAAGCATAGTGTAAGTCATTATTCGCAAAAGCCATGTACAGAGATCTTGTTTCACCATTTTCATCAACCAAGCATGGTGATGTCGCTTCTTGTTGTTTCATTGCCTCGACTTTTTTAGAATTCTCCTATTATGAGGTAAATATGTACTCACGTTTTGTTTGAATGTGAGATTCTATAAATCTGTAGAATCTGATGTAGGATTTGTTTGAATGTAATAATTTTAAAAATTAAATTGCTTGCATTTAAGATAGCGCATGCGCATACTGTAAATTCAATATTAATTTATATACAATAAGTATAATTACTCTATTTATATTCGTACTTGTTCAATTTTCTAACACGGTGTACGGTGAAGCATCATCTTTAAGGGTCATCCCTTTTATGCATCTTTGATAATGCAGTCACTGTTTTTTTATTCTATTCAAAACACTAGTGTATTTTACTACAGTTAATATACGTACACCTAGTGTTTCGACATGCAAAGTTTTTTAAGTTCGACCATTGTGCGAATTTTGTTTTAGTTTTACGTTCTTTGTGTGTTTCAATTCTGATAGATGAATTATAATCCATGTTACATAAGTACATTATGTAGTACGTAATTAATTAATGTTATCGCATGGGCAGTGTCATTGTAAGCTTGCTATCTTATATGGATCTCACGCTTGAATTTATCTTAAAAATATCTCACAACGTAAAGACAGAATTTCGGCCCATTATAGACCATAAAAGGCTATAAACATAGCTCACTATAATTTTTGATATAAAGAAAGATTAATAAATTCACATTCAAAGGGAAAATAATTTTCCTGTGATGTGATTTTGTACGCTTCTGTACGATTTTGTCATGCATTACTTGTAATGATTTTATTCATTTATCAAAGTTATTGCGAAGTGAATTATGAAAGATCTCATCAATCAGTCATATCGTCTCATTCTTGATCATCTTATATGACGTATCAAACACGTGAAAAATTGAAATAGTTTAGTCATTGTACTTACCCTGGTCAAGTTGTTCGGCTTGTAGCTCTTAAACTCATTCATTTTATTTTTATGGCTTCCTTCTTTCGAGATGTCATCATCACGAGAAAATTTGAAAACAATAAGAGACTCAATCAAAGTACTAAACACAAACATGAAACTTGTAATGAGATACCAGTCTATGGCTTTGGCGTAGCTTACTCTTGGCATTGAAGAATTATTCGTACCAAGTAGGAAAACTATAGTTAATATTGTGGTTATACCTAAAAAAATGTAAAGATGTATAAGTAAGATATTGAAAGTTGCATCTTGTCGTAATGGTGCTTAAACATGGTTTATTACTGGTTCCGATGAACAATTAAAATGAAAACCGCACTGCGCAAATTGCAATACTGCTAATCAGAAAGAAAATATGGTAAGCACTCTCAAAGTTTAAATTCAGTTTCTGGTTATTGCGATTTGAGATTTTGAGCAAAGAAAACGTTTACTTAACAAGGCGTTTTAGGTTTTTACAGCTTTCATGGCAGCAAATTAATCTTCTTTTATAGTTCTTTGCCTTTTGAGGTTTCATTTTTGTAATTTGCTTTAGGCAACTGTTGCAGATTGCATTATAATTTTATTTTCCAAATGTGTTAATTTTAAATCAAACGGCTTTCTTTAAATTTCTCTCAGTTTTGCGTTGGCGAATAACAAGAAGTATTAAACATAGATTTGAAAAAAATGACTGTTTAAATGAGTTTTGATTGAAGACCAATACCAAATTGATTCAACAGACTCAAAGTAAAAATGACGCTACTATCTCTTGTATGACTAGTTCGAAGAAAATGAAAGCATACTTGATCTAATCAATGTTGCATGTTTCCAGTGTACAAAAATAAGGAGTTGTTTCTAAAGAACAAACCTAAAGAAACTCGTTCTCCAATATCCTTTGCGTCAATATAAAACGACATCCAACTGAGAATTGTGATGATCAAACTTGGAAAATAAACTTGTATCAGATAGAAACCCATTCGTCGTTTAAATTTGAATGTTGCGACGAGACTGGAATAATTCCCTGAAATGCATTTTTGCAAATTTGTTATTTTGATTAATTTTAATCCGGAAAACCCCATATATTAGTCATATGCTAAAGTCATTGACAAACATCCCTAACTTCTTCGGACATTATTACTTTAGTTCATAACAATGCATAATAACACATGGTTGCGAAGGCTGTGTATGTACTTAAAAATCTACCAACTATGTTTCACAGCAATTTAAGCTTTATATCAAGAAGAAAAACAAATGACTTTGGCAAGTACGCATATAGCTATATTAAGTACGCCATATAATCATTTATACATTCAAGCTTTATACCTGCTGGATATGACACATTTTCTACTGTACATTTGATGTCGGATTCCATATCACCGATTTCAAATTCAGCCATTTGTGTGTTTATAACTTCAATTGGTTTGTCTGTGACCCACAATAATTGCATGTGATCTTTCTTGTACGCATCTTTATTTATCACAGAAAAAATTTTTTGAAACAAAAACACCAAGAACTTCATCTATATTGTGCAAAATTAAACTTACAACTTTCAAAAGTCAGTTTACATTCTTGAGCATCCATCGGAAATTTTTTCAGATTCATTTGACATGCGGCAATAATCGTAACTCTGTCATAAAAAATATGAAGAGTCATTTTAGTTAATGGATTCATGTTAGTAAAAATTGAGAAGAAATCCATCCCGAAATTTTTTTTATTGAATCGAATAGTACACAATTGCCTAAACTGACCACCTTGCATGCCTTAACATGAAGCAATAACAATACCATTACCTTTGTATTTTTGATGGTACTAAATATTGCTATAAAATATTTGACAGATGTATAGCAGTTTTCAAACCTTGCTAACTGAATGAAGAACAATTACTCGATACTCGATAGTACGACGATATCTCGATAGATAGAAAATCCAGTTTGCTTCACGTATCAAAATGCTTTGTAAATTACATCATATGAGTAATTTCAGTTTCAAATATCAAAAATACTCAGTAAGACTTATGACAATTATCTGAAATGTTTTTATAAAAAATAAATGTTATTGTAAAACTTTCTTTCGCATTTGTTTGGCGCAGCTACCACACCAAATTTATCTAAGGTATGCTCGTAAAACCAGTGGTATTGTCAAGGAAGAACATAAAATTGGCACGTCTTCCCCAATAATAATTTCAAGGGGCTTTGGTTTCTGTTTAAGAAACTAAAATATGCAAATAAGGGCTACTTCGAGGTTAAGGTCCCCTCTAGCAGGTGCAACTGTGTAAAACCAGCGCCAATGGAAAAGATTGCAGCACTTAGAGTGTTAAGTTTGATTGAAGAAAAAGTGGAGATAAATTTACCTTGCACTGTAATATATATCACCATTGTTAAATATGACAAGTAACTGGTTGTCCTCGTGAAGTATATATTCGTTAGAATTTGTTACATATATGTCAGGAATCCACAATTTTTTGTTGACTTCTTTTCCTTTTAAGAATAAAGTGCCGTATAAATCATGCACAAGACGAGGATCTCGCCATCGTTGAATGAGAAACACACTTGATGTGAATTCCTGTTCCACGAAAAAGACCAAGTAAGTTAAAGTAACAATACATCCTACAATCCTTCCAGCTGAAACATTTCTTACTAACTTTCAGAATCGTACAAGATTATTATAGTACATTGCTTTATAAATTATATGTTATAATAATTCGACACAAACCATAGTTGATTCCTTAATGTTTCTAAACTGTTGAATCTGTCCCTTCACGGTTACATTTACAGGTTGTTCTAGAAAAATATACTAATTCAAGGAATGGAAAGAGAGGGAAGTTGATGACAATACCCTTAAAATGTAACAACAATAAACCCTTAGAAATAGAAAACTACGTGCGTGGGAATTCAAAAAGTTTCAAGAATTTCCGGGAGAAAGCAGAGCATACTCAAACTTCCCAACAATTTAGCAATTTTTCAGGGAAGAAGAGCACAGCTCTCATGCTTTCTAATCAAGTCCAACCGACTTTGTTTTGTTTACAAATGTGCCTCTTAAATACAAACTTGTGTTTAGAAACATTGCTTAATGAAAGCGAAATCTTCGATAGACACAACTTCGAACAACATTGTATGCAGCTTGTTAACGTTGTGTTTCTAATTTGATACTGCAATACAAAGCTTTACGAGCCCCGGCAGTTTAAAGATAGTCAACGTTTTCATTTGGATTGGATCCTCCAATTTTTTTTACAGGAAACAGAGCTATAACTCTTACTTCGTGCGAAAGGTCGAGTACGAACATCATAGTTTTTCAATAGATTGTTCAAGTGGTACGTGGCGTTAGCAGGCTCTCTCCTATCAACCACTTCATTGTCTATCACCACGTTTCTAAATAGTAAAATACGACTTTATATAAACATTGAAACTTATATGTTTTTTTCTTAAGTCTAATTGTGAGTTTTCGTCTTTTAGAGATAATTTCACAGCCGAGATAGGATGGTCGGCAAGAATTTCAATAAAAATTGTCAAGATTTTGTTATGCTGCAAAACTTTTTTGTTGAGTAGACAGAACAACTTACCCACTGAAGACGCGATCAATAGATAGTAGTGTGATGATCACAAACAAAAAAATAATCATTTTGCTTGAATTTCTAAAAAAGCATATTTGTCCCACATGGATTAACAATGCAATTTGCTGTCATTATAGATTGCTTTCAAAATTTTATTCAATTTTCATAGCAAGCTTTGTTTTCAAAAGTAAATTTCTCTCATGTCCTTTATAACTCTGTACTTCTGCATTTTTCAAAAGTTACATCAGTTATAGCGTCATTTTTTTAGGCAAGTTTTCAACACTGCAACATTCGCTAGTAGTCACTACATTGATTAGATTTTGAGGTTATTTCTAATGAGAAACATTGAACTTATACTATTTATATATTCTGAAGTCTTAAAATAGCTATTTTTAGCACTGTCTCACATTAATTTGCTGTAGTTTTTTTATCCATATTTTGTACCCACGTATCTACTTGAGTGTTACATGTGGACTAAAAATTACCACTCATAAATATTTCAATATTTTTATATGAATCAAATAAATCCTCACACAACTCATTTGTCATTGCGTAGTGAGATATTTCTGTCAGTTTTCTATTTTGCATGGGATAAATGTGAAAAAAGAGAATTTTCTCATACATCACGCTTGTTTGTGGACAGAATTTGTCTTACATTTTGTAATCCCACTAAAACTTGATCGCAGCTCAACTTGACATTTTGTTCACACAAAAGTTTCCGTCTTGAGTGCATAGAAATCTTTGAAAATGATTTTTATGACCTACACAAGTTTGCTGTGAACAATGAATTAAAAATCTCTTTTAGAAATCGAAACGAACCCCAAAACGTTACCTTTTTTTAGTCCTTCTACAATTGTTTTGTATCAAACTTTGCATGCATTTTTTTAGATGATCAGGATGATTATGAAACTTATGTATTTTCTTCTCATATATGATGAAAACTAAGTTTTATACATACCTTGGAAATATTAATGTATGAACACATTCGCTTTCGTCCTCTCACCTTCTCAAAACATTTTTGTTGATAAATAAGTTGAGAACTGGTTGAGAACAGCTGTATTGGCGTTCTTTGACTAATTTTGTGGTTTTAACCACTTATTTGAATTCATGCTTTTCCGTCACGACTTTTCCCGACTTTTGATGTCTTATTCATTAAAATAAATATATATCGTCAACAGAGTTTTTATTGACTGATCTTTAACTATCGTAAAAGTAAGCAAAGTAACAGATTATTGTGCGCAAATGTTGTGTGCCGTATTTAAGAAATAAAAGATGTTTACTGTGTTTCTACGGGCTTATGCAAACCGAGGAAACCTTTTGGAGAACTCGAGAGTAGATCAGTGCAAATCCGAGACCGAAGGTCGAGGGTTGCACATGCTCCAGGATAGGATTTTTCAGGACTAGGTCGTCATCTGCTAAAGCGGTTCGGGGGCATGCTTGACTAGAAAATTTTGATTTACAAAGCCTTAAATTGCAAATCTTATGCAAATCTGCATTCCTGTCTTCAACTGTAATGAACAACTCAACTCAAATACATCTTAAAAGTAATTAAGGAAGTATTAGTTGGTCATGATTTTATCACTTATGATATGACAGACGGAACTTGAGATCAGTTTAAAGTGCAAACACAAAAAGTTGTTGTTTTTCACGGTTTTTCCTCCTTTAGTGCTGTTTTCAAGTTTGTCAACGTTGCATTTGTAAAGAAACATTAAATATTATTTAGTGTATACTAATTTAAAGTATAAACACATCCTTAAAATATCCTTTAAATCTTAAGAAAATCCTATTTTTAAGGATAATTCTTTAAAAGTGAGAGCACTGTGCATGAAGTCAATGCTGTGTAAAAAGTATTCAATTTATGCAGTGACATCCAGTTGTATCCATTGACTTCTATAAGACCTGAAGGGGAAAAGGGGCCGAACCTTTATAGAAATCAATAGTTGTATCCCCCAACAGGAAGCAGACTTCTCAAGTGTGACAATCACAATTACATTCTTAACTGCCTGATAAAAGTGATCATCAACATGATGCATGAGACGACGTTGTTTAAGGTAGGCATTTTAACCTCTTTTTTTTCAAAAAGTGCTTGACAAAATTAGAAATTTTCGTTCAGCTCACAGTGCCAGAGCGGTTGAAGACTTTATTTATATACGCACCATGATATACATAACGTAATATAAAAATGGCTGTTGAAACCCTGTAAATGTGTAATTGTAATAAATATCATCTACCTTCTTTTGAACATTTCCACAATATCTAATTTTCTTTACATGTATGTAGTTGTTCGGTTGATCGTCATACCTTTCGATTGTTGCACTCTGCACTCAGCAGATTGTTCACTGATTGTTCATTAATGGTCACTGACGTTAGCAAATGTCCATTTTCAATTTGTTTTCACGCAAGATTTGTTTTAAATCAATGGAATAGATTCACATATTCATTACTCTTACTATTATGTTTTATTAGTAATATACTAATCTTTTTATGTTAAATATTTGCTCATTAATTGCACATTATATAGTTTTCCATAGTTACTTGTTACACAACTGTAATCATGCAAGTAGCAGATTGGTTTATATTTATTTTCAAATATATTTTTCAAACAATTTTTCAAATGGTAATTGGTGAGCCATTATGATGTATTTTGAATTACCCTGACGCCATCATTTGTTCATATTTCCATTATGACAGGTTGTCATTGTTTGGACCATATTGTCTTTTTCACTGAATATTGTGGAGGCCTTGGTAAGTTTAGCAATTTTTTGAATTTTCTTTACCTAATACTTTACACATCTAAAAAGAGCCCAACTTTAAATCATTGCGCTGGGTTTTGTAATAAATCCAAGATTGTTATTTATAAATGCTATATTTTAAAGTGGAGGATGTCCATTGATCTAGTACTTCATTGTGTGGAAGTTGAGCATCTTGACAAGTTCTTATAAGATCTTGTAAAACTTTGCTATAGCCTTAACAAGAACTTGTCTTCACAAGATATTGGAGTGTTGATGCCATGGTTTTTGCATGATTTTACCTAGGTATTGCCAAGATATTTTGGCAGAATCTTTTCAGTATCTTCCTATAGAGGATCTTGTAAAACTAGTTTTATTTTGCAAGATCTTTCCATCCAAAAATGCTTAAACTAAGTTTTCAATACTTGTTGCATTAATGCTGTTTGTTTAGGATAAAAGTGATTGTGGAAAGACCCAGAGTTGTTACAGCAAACCTGGAGGTTGTTTGTCTTCTGAGGATTGTGAATATTTACTCAAATATTCTGTATCTAATGAAAGTGTTGTCTTTGAAATGTCATCAAACAAGTATGAATGGATTGCTGTGGGATTTAATTTTATAAGAAACTCAATGGTACGTAATTGTGATTGTTTTTTTTGCTTTGATGTAACAGTAATGGGAAGGTAGCATAATCTTTCATTTTCATCCCTGTCAGGTAGCCTGTTTTGTGCATTGTTTTATGCAAGCTATTGAGTGGAACCCTAACTGTGAAAATTGTTGGATTGAATTGTTGAAAAACCATTTTTGTGTACTGGGCAGTTGAGAAATGCTGGTCAAACTTGAAAATTCATTTTGCTCCATGAAGACTTGAAAACTTTTGACATGAACATTGTAAGCAGTTGGGTAATTATCACTGGCGTAACTTTAAGGGAAAGTGATAACCCCCTCCCCCCCGCTCTAAACTTGGAATTGTATCTGTCAGAAAAAGTTATGGCTTGTTGTCAGAAATTTATACATTCCTATGTAAGGCGAGCACCCTTAAAAATACTGAATGGATCACATATTTCACTTTTCAACTGACCTAATATTGTGCCAATTTTTCATTTTTTCCTTGCATATTACTTTATTCTTTCTTGATTTGGCAAAACTATAGTTTCACAACTGTGCAGTTTAAAAATTTTTTTCATATACAAGTTTTGAATGTCAACAAGGTATGAACACATTTACAAACAGTGATATCTAAGAGCTGTATTTTCTGTCCGAATTATGTCCTCAAAGATAGAACTGTAAAGTGATTCCTTTGCTTTTATGAGATACAAGGAAGCAACTCAAGCAATGCAGTAAACTTTCAACATAAATTCCTGGTATTGTTATTGAAGTTTGGTTAGAATTCAAAGCTGATGAAGTAACAAGCTATGGATGGGTGCTCAGTTCTGGTGTTCACGGGGGACTCGCTGAACACGACTAAAGCCATTAGTTAGCCAGATTAGTACGTCAGACGTACAATGCATGGCTCACCGATTGAATTTGATGCTGGCTTCAACAACTTCAGTTCCAATGAAGTTATTTTTTGGTGCACTAGAATCAGGGCGTTAAAAGCGGGGGGAGGGGGCTAAGGACCCCCCTTTTTTAGAAGATGGGCAGTGCTCCCACTTTGCACTCAAATTGCAAAGTTACTATGAAAGAGAATGTTTACTAATTGTCTATTTTGACTATAAAACATACGTATCTACATACAATGCAGCTGAATGAACTTCTGTAGAATCGCGTATGAACCTTTTCCAATTCTCTTATTGTAGTATGCAGCTGAATGAACTTCTGTAGAATCGCGTAGGAACCTTTTCCAATAATCGTTAGTTTATTAAATATGAGGTTGGGTGACCAGCGTTGCTAAAATTTAAAATGGCGTTTACTAACGAGTAAACAGTGGACTGGTCGTAGATTGGTACTCATTTCTATAATGTACCCTCCCCCACTTTTATTTTCCTTCCGACGCCCCTGACTAGAATCGTTGCTTGAGCACCAATCTTTTGGTGTTTTAGAATCGTTTGGTGGTAATGGTGTACGTTCTTTGTTGTCAGACTCTGAAGAGTTTCTCAAATGCATGACAGCAAATGCAGAAAAGTCCTTTCAATTACCCAAAGTCCTTTCATAGGCAACATGAGGAGACATAGTAAATGCTGGCAGCATCTTAAAGACAACTTTGAGTGCTACATCAGTTACCAGAAAACTTGATTGCAAAGAATAATTGAGATGAACGTGCTATTTTTAATGCCACGGTCTACTCTATGGACTAAAGATTGATTCTGCATTTTTGGTTTGATATGCTGGTTATTGAGAAAGAAGCAACTAACAAAGTCCGTTCCTAAATAAAACAAAATATTGTCTAATTGTCTTTTCACCTGGTAAAAACCTTTCAACCAATAAACTATCTGTTGTTATGACGTGACTTTAATTAAAGCACAATTAATTAAACGCAGAATTTTGGATAATTTATAATTTATCAAGTTTGTAAATTTTGATTATAATTTGTAAATAAACGATTGAAAATTCCAGTTACGCCAATGGTAATTATGCTTCTGTAAAATTCTATATTCTAGCTACATTCTAACACAAACTGATTTTCGTACCAGACAATGTGTGATATTTGTTGAAATGAAAAAGTTAAAAATATTTTTGCTGATATTGAATATTTCTAATGATATCTTGCATAGGGTGGTGGAGAGTCATTGTCATGTGAGAGATATGGCGACAGCATTATCCTTCATCATTATGATATGCCTAATGAAACTCGACCAGATCCCAGCAATGTAAGGAGAGAAACATACTGGAAAACTGATAAGTTTCACTTTAAGATTGGTATTAAATGTTATCATAGCCTTAAATGTCAACATAGTGGAAAGGTCCCTTCTCAAAAATATTGCAAAACTGTTTGGATGGTTTGGGCTAGTAAATTGGCAACATTCACTCTCTCTTAGCAAAATATTCTATTTCTTCAATAGCAATTATATTGAAGAATAATTACTTCCATCATGATAATTGTTTAATTAAAATTTTTCTACCTCACTTGAATTATGTTTAAGTGTTTTTTCCAGTCATTCAATGAAGTTCATCTAACTGTTCATAAACTCATTATGTTTCTTTAGAACTCGCAGGCAACGTTACTAGACAGCCAAATCTTGACAAATTATATATATTGCAAGTATGTGTACATTTTAAATCATATTTTATCTCATTACGTAGAATACCTACAAATATTTTTTATGTCAGAGTTTCTAGGTCAGTTTTAATCATTATCCGCAGGTTTAGCTCTCAAAAATCCTTCGATTTTCACCCATTTTCTGTTCTACAACTTCGTTTATTCGTTAGTTTACAGCCCCCTAGCTCAGGTTAATGTATTTTTTACTGTTAAGAATTTAACGTTAAATTCGGGGAGTAACGATGGAAAGTTTTTAAGTAAACGTATATTTGTCATCTTAATAAAGGTATATTATTCGAAACGCAAAAGCGTGCTGACAAACTAATGATGTCATTTCAAAAAATCTCGAGATAAACCCAAAGGCTTTTTCCCCTGAATTAATATTCCAAAAGCATCCCTAAAGTCGAAAAATTGCAACACAAGTTGGCAACACTGTTTAAAGCAGATCTTTGAATGGGGCCCGGTCACGTGCGCAGCATCTAATACTTTAAGCCTTAAGCTATATTGACGCTTACTAGAAAATTTTTTTGTAATTTACTATTCTCGTTGCATTACCAAATTTGACAATGTTTCTTGTTTTGTCTTTTGTTTTGAGAATTAAGTGCAATAAAAACTTCCATCTTTTAAAAACAGTCTGATAGCTACTTTTGCCGGCGTTTGAAAGTCTATATGTTTGTCACTTTGATGAGTCTCGAAGAATTTTGAACCTGAAGTTGTCCTTGCAATCCACACGTTGACAAATACAAAAACTAAGTTCATATAATCAATATTATCCATTACAAAATTGTGCTAACCCTAACCCTAGCCATAAGCCTAATTCTTACCATAACCTATACCTACAAAAAAGGTTGTGAAAAAGACGCTTTTCCTGAAACAGTTATAATAGTTGATTAAAAAGAAATGTCGAGAGTTTGAAGTTTTTCTCCTACTTTTGTTCTCAATCACGCCGCGTGCAAATTAAATTTACTATATGCGCATTTGAAAAGTATTTATATTTTTTTCAGATTTCAACGCAAACTTCATCTTCAAGCGATGATTAAATCCAACTTGAATAACCCATTTTACTTTCTTTATGCAGCAGGAGACATGGGTATGTGTGGTAGCATTTATTATTACGACTACTAGGCTCTTGTTTATGCTAATGTTAGCTTCCATATGATGCATTTGTTTAGCGAAGAATGGAAAGACCATAAAATTTCACAGCTTCTATGAAACATCTCTGAATAAAACAAATATATTTGGGATTACTGACAACACTGATCGTACAAATGCCAGCAAGGTGACAAGTATGAGCATGTTGTAACCACTTTTTTATCAAATATAGTTTAATCCATTGCGTATACCCAATTTTATGGCGCATACGCACCAGGAAAGCAGTGTTGTATAATCTCCACAAAGTACATAGTTTGGTTTTTTTTGCTGCTTCGTGAAACTTGTTTTTTACCTCCCCTACTTTTCGTGCTTGCATCAAAAGTAGAACTCCCTTCTTGCTTATACTTATAATCGCATTAATTGTGTTGTACTAATCATAATATTGTTGCCTTTTTAAAAACACTGTGATTGATGTAGCTGATTGACATCGGCGAATGTAAAGAAAGCCTTGGTTGTGCTCGAACTCCATCAGGTTGCCATGACAATACCAATTGCAGATTTTTAGTGACGTTTGAAAGGGTTAACAGCAGTCTAGAGTTTTCCATTTCTGGGAAAGCTGATGGTTATATTTCGGTTGGTTTTAACAAGAAGCCGAAAATGGTACGTGTATTTTACTATAGACTGCACATTTTACCTTGCTAGAAAGGATGCCGTCTTGCTTAAAAATTGTGCATTAATAAAATACAGAATTTGGTTTTTGTGTGATTTAGGAAATTGTCTAGCCTCAGTTTGCGTTCAACTTCGCTTCGGTAGCTAGATAACGCACATAATTTTCGATGTCATGCAAAAGCTAATTCAGTAACTGTTTATTGTTTGCAGGGAGGAACGGATGCAGTAATTTGCCAAATTCAAGGAAAAAACGTTGTTCTTAAGGTTGCTAACCTGGAATATGATAGTCCAGAGATGATGGTAAGTTCTGCATAGTTAAAGGTCAACTATCTTTTTATAACTTGCACGATAAGTATGTTTGATTAATCAGTCACATGGATGTATGGTATTTTCACGTAGTTTTTCTAAGCGATGTATTTTTGTGGTCAAAATTCGTTATTTGAGCGTAAAACTACTTACTTGGCGAATGAAAATCAAAATTCACCTCTCTTTCAGACTAACGTGTAGTAAATTTAGCTTGTCTGCAATAATTTACTGTGCATGTCTTGCTTTCTCTTATGCTTTTATGCTTTTGAAAATTTTAGTCAAGCCCTGACATTTCCCTCCTGGATGGTAGATATGAAGGAGGCATTATATATTGCAAGTAAGATATAATGGAATTTAACTGCATGTTTTGATTAACGGTTAAAGATGCAACTACGTATTTACTGGAGACTTTATTTATTAGATTCCGTCGACCATTCAAACCGTCATCAAAGAAAAGACTTTCTCTCAATGCTCCAAAATATATAATATACGGCCAAGGTTTGTTCGTCTAATAATAAAAAAGATGAAAATGCCCTGGTAGTCAGGTGCAGCACATTCAAAAGGCTGGTCTATGTTCGTTGTAAAATTTTTCACAAGAGTCTGCTATGAATTCACATGTGAAAGTCCTAACTAACAACACGGAATTTTTTGACTGAATTACATGCGATGATTTTTTAGAGGCCATTTTACTTTCTTTTTTATTTGTGTAGCTACTTTCGAAGCAAGCACGCGCAAAACTGTTTATTGAACATGCAGATACATATATTTGTTTCGAGGCCAACTATTGTACTGATTTTTAGGCCAACTATTGTACTGATTTTTAGGCCAACTATTGTACTGATTTTTAGGCCAACTATTGTACTGACTTAATTCGTCATTTTATCTAATATCTACCATCTGCTGAATGTCATTAACACACGAAATATTTTTGCGGCCCAACCATTACACGGTGTATTTATTGTGAAAAATTAGTTCGATTTAGTTCATCTTTCAGTCTTTCATCTGCTGAATTTGTCTATATTTAACGTTTATATATACATGAAATATTTTTATGTATGGATATTTTTAAAGTAAATGATGTATCGTTTTAGGCTCAGGAAGGACAACTTTAAACAAGCATACAGATGAAAATCGGGGCTGTTCGATGAAAAAGGTCGATTTTAGAAATTCTTATATGATGTATCAGTTTGGTGGTTGTGATGACGGTACTCTTGAAATTGTTCATGGTTAGTGTAACTGGAAATTACCAACTTAATGATTCTCACATTCTGCCACCATGCATATTAATATTTACGCTTAATTGAATTGAGTATCCTGCATGATAGCTAATAAAATCTTAATTATCCTTATAAATAAAAAGTTTTCACTCGTCCTTCGGACTCGTGCAAATTTGATAGCCTTTGAAAAACTCACTCATGCATGTTTTTTCCAAATTGCTTATATAATCCAAATTCACTATAATCTAAATTTCAATACTCGTATGATAAAAAGTTTACTGCATGGTTGGTTTGTTTGTACGATTTTTATTATGCACTTGTTGAGGTTTGAAAACAAACTTGTTCGCTGCGCGCACTCGTTTGTTTTCAATCCTTCTCAACTCGTGCATAAAAATTGGTACGCACTCACCAACCATGCAGTAATCTATTATTGTGAAACGTGTTAACGATATCATTTTTAATTGTAACGTGTCATCATATGATTCATGTATGGGAAATGCTACCGTGTTGCAACTATATATGTAGGGTAAATATTTTCTTGTGAGGTAGCATACGGATTTAGTTTTTTTCTCTTTAGGTTCTTTCATGATATTTGCCTGGTTGTTTTTGGTTTTGAATTCCATGTTTATTGCTCGTTACTCTCGTCATTTGTGGAAAAATTGGGAAATCTTCGGTAGTGCAGCTTGGTTTCAGGTGAGTAAATGTATTCTAAAGGAATTATAAACGAAGCGAGCAACATACATATGATAAGTAAGTCAATGATACTCTTAATACCTCTTTAAGCTGGTTTTATGAAACGACCAAGAAAAATCTAAGCTAAGATATTGAAAAAACTTTAACTTGGGATGGATATTGGGCTGACGATTTTCAATGAATTGATTCAAGTATATTGACATAAAAATATGTACGACTGTTCTGAAAAAATATTGAGCGAAAGATCGTATGTGAAAGATATGTTGCCATATATTGTGACAACAATCAAACCATCTCGACCTCAAATGACAAAAAAAGGATTAAGATAAGATTCAAACCATTGTATATCTAAGTCAAAATTGCCAATCTTAGTGGTGTGAGAGGGAGGGTGCAGAATGTGATGACTTTCATGTTAATGTGTACTTTGATGGCACAATTTTTCTTTTACGATAATCGAACACCACTGTTTAGATAGGTCATGACTTTACGTTGAAAGTTACCTCGCAAGTTTTGTATTTTCTTACATCTAGCTCCATCGTTTGTCTATGGTTGCTGCTGTAGTTATGACAGTCATCGCCATTATTATCATATTTCTGAATAAACAAGGATGGAGCGAGGTACCCGACGACTATCGAATTATGCACTTTCATATGATGGATTCTCCAAAATACTTGACTAATTACAAGTGAAGTGAAGTGTCGTTTACAATACCTTGAACAGATAGAATTATATATTGTATTAAAAATTTGAGAATTAAATTAACTCGCGAGTGGGCCAGGATGAAGCATCTTTATCGTGATTATTGCTAGTTTTTAACACGAACAAACGTGATACTAATGCAATATATTAAAGCTTTTTCTTGTTGCTTTATTTAGAGCGCAGGTGCTCATGGCCCAATTGGAATAATTGTCACGGTTTTTGCAATCATTCAGCCAACTGTTGCAATCTTTAGACCACATGTGAACCATAAGAGGTATGTACGTATATAAGGGCCTGTTCATATGAGCCGGACTGGCTCGCTTTGCCGAGCCAGTTGATATTAGCTATTATTTGATTCACATGAGGCGGGCTGGCACGGAAAATACAGAAATAGTTAGCTAATCACAAGCGCCGGATAAAAGTCTAAATGCCGATATTTCATGTTACTTTTATAAGCTAAAAGAAAAAAGAAACACAATGAGGTTATGCATTAATTATTATATGGTCCACCGAAAGTTATTCTTTTGCTTGCCCACCATTTTGCATTGAATTGTACGTTTTTCATGAGCAATCGTACTAGAACGATATATGGCTAGTATGTACAGGCCCTTAGACACGTTTCCAGCTAAATGCTGTGAGGGAGCTCAATATGTGACACTTATGGTATTAAGAATTGGACACAATAATGTAATCCATGCTTAATTAAAACACAACTGCTTTTTGACGTAATTGACTTAACACTCATTTGTGTCGTATACTACTTTTTATTTATTTGTTTGATGGTATTTACAACTTGAACTCGCTACTATTTGTAGACGGTATTTATTCAACTGGGTTCATCGAACTCTTGCAATCATTCTGTTCGTATTAGTCAGTAAGTAAAGCTTTAAAGTGTTCTTATAAATTTATCATCTGCATGCTGTGTCGACTGTGTTGGAATTGAATCTCTGATTCTCTGTTGATAGCTTTGCAATAAAGTAAAAACACGGTGCCGTCAAGACTGCTGTCATAGCAAGAATATCTCACCCACTTGCCATTTATATACGAGTAGCCTCGTCTACAACTCTCGTCACCTTTGACTAGCCTTGTTTCCAATCCAACGTTTGCTTGGTAGCTGTGGGTAGATTAGCGGACTAGTATTCTTAAAGGGCTAATTAAAATCTCGTCTTAACATCGTTTTTCATGTGTTTGCAATCATGTCAGAGTTCAGTGAATTGAGCATCATATGTCATTACGTTTTTGGAAACGAGAATATTGCTGCTATGCAGTAGCTAAGCCAGTGCGCAAGTTTCGGTCTTGTTGTGTGCAAATTTCAGCACATTACATTATTCATGTATTTAGAAATCTATTGTTTTTACTGTGTGTGAACAAAAATAAAATTGCAAAGCCAAATGAGCAGCATCTATACCCTCCCAAAGTGACAGTCAATATGTAAATACTTAAAGAAGATTTCTTGTTATGAGAAATTAACTATCCACTTTATTAACGCGATGTTTCATATTTGCAATAATTTAATTAACGCTAATTATATCAGTCCTAATTTTAAGATTTAATTTTTGTTTATTGTTTCTTACAAAGATGAGATTGTTCATTATTGGACTGTTCATCATCACAAACTAATTTTAAGTGGCAACTTTTTCCACACTGAATAATTAGTATGATTATACATTCCGAAAGTCTAAAAAGCAATTCACATTAATTAGATGTCGCGTTAACAAAGTGGGTCGAAAATTTTCTATAATAAGGTATATAGCTTTTTGAATACTTTCAAAAACTTTAGATTCCCCATTCCACGTAATTAAATTGAATTCATATGTTTTGTTTTATTTAGTGGTGCAGTTATATGAAGGTGGAGAACTCCTGGAAGATAGTGGAGGGGATGTTTCGTCCAAAGTATTAATTGCTACCATTGTCATAGCGATTATCACAGCTTTGATTTTCGAGTACCTTAGTCTTCGCCTCCGAGCAAAGAATGTACTTGGTTGGTTACTTATAAAGTAATGTTCATAATCTTCAAGTTTGCTTTACTCTGCGTACTTTTTGTTTAGATGTGAACGTCATTTCATGGGATGATGAAGACGAAGTGAAATCAGATGTTTCTGACGTATTTTGGTATCTAATATGTTTGGTTATTTTATTTTATTTATGGAAATAAATATATCAGCTTGTAAGGCCTTGCTGGTCCTTGGTGGTGAAATGATTACGTTAAATTGTAATGGACAAGTTCCTATTATTTCGAGAGATGAGGGAACTCTATGCTCTGTAGCAATTGCTTTGTATTTTAGTTTTTGGTGTTGCTCATAAACCCTAGCTTTCTGTTTATGGTTCTCAGTACAGTGAGCTACCCTCCCCGCGCGCAACATGACCATCCGTGCGTTAGAATAAATGCTATTTATTTGGGAAACTTTGAATTAATTTGCATTTGAAACAATTTCAGGAGACCAAAGCACAACGTATTCTGCTCCTTGTTATCTCGCTTACTACTTTTGTTTTATCTGTAACAATGATTGCTTTCATCGCAAGTGGTGGATCTGAAGATGAAGACGATGATTAAATAACATCGAAAATTGTGTCTGCTGATATGTATTAGGTTCAGTTGTACATCCTATTAATATAGTGTTAAATATTGTAATGGTAGGAAATAAAATAAAACTAGTTGCGCAGTCGATAGAACACGAAAACAGCTTTTAAGTCATGCTCCTGTGAACACCCCCGGGCAAATTGTTTGATGAAATCAAATTATTTTCGCGGGGGGTAGGGATAAGTATGTTTCTATTGCTACTGCTTGCAACATGTACATGTAATCTACTTGCTTAAAATAATTTAAAAATGATTTTGGTAATGATGATCGTGTAACGAGAAGTGTTCGCCATTGGCATCGATATCTTCAATGAATAAATATTCTCATCAATATCTTTGTGCTTATTTGCAATGAGTGATATTTATCAATATATGAAGTGTTTATTACCCCATTTTGTTACTATAGCAACTTGCCCTACGCCATATTGAGAGTCAACATTTCATTATAAAAACTTATTTTATTAATCGATCAACGGTGAAATGTAAGTATGCTATATTCAGAAAACGATACATTATATCACTAATCGAATATTTTCTATTAATAATTCCTTATTAATCTGCATTACCCAGACTGTGCGGTAGATTTAGCGTTTATTCTTCAATAAGTAATATGTCTATTGTGTAGGAGTAATTTTGGAAATCGTCCTCCATCAGGAGCTCTAAGACCTGGGACAAAAGGACGTTTGGCACAGGGAAGCAGTATCTTTTATGAAGTGAAATTAGGATTTTGAAAATTATCTTATTCTTATGAGCGAAAGAATAGTACAATTTTAGGAATATTAGAGAGAAATAGGGTTTTATTCAGTTATATATTAATTTTTATAGTTGCTTTACATTGCTTGGGAAAGTAGAGCACTACCATAGTTCATGCCATTTCAAAAGTATCATGTATTTAGATCATTCTGTGATATGATGAACTGGATGAAGATTATTTTTTAAGGAAAGTATTCTTACTGCTCTATAATTATGAAAAGGTTTCCTTAACGTAGTTAAAGGTAAAGGAAGGCCCCCAGGTAAGAATATTGCTTTAAAGTCATCTCAAAAATTGTAGAGTGAAGCAGAAGATATGTACATCATACATGCTATGAAATATGTTTGCTTTGGCTATCTTCTACTCACACTTTATATGAAATCTAAATTGACCTACGTAAAATGTTGAATGTCGAATACTTCTTGAACAATCATTGCAAATATTTGACGTATTTTCTTTCTTGTATTATCATTCCCATTCACATGGAAATAAATTGTGACAGGAACTGGCTTGGTAAGTACCAGTAATGTTAATATTGTAAATGGTTTGAACCCGGAAGTATTGTTACATGTTTGTGGATGTACATTGTCCAGGGTAGTAGAGTCCTGAGAAGGACTGTTTTTGTTGTTGTTGACTGATGTTTCGACAACCTTTGCGGTAGTCATCTTCAGTGTCAAGGATGATCTACATCCACAAACATGTAATGTTAATATTATTATCATAAAAAACAGTTAACTTGAAGTATTTCTGCATGTATGTACAAAAAAACATTTTAATACTTAGGTACCAAGTAGTGCACGACCAGGCACCGTGGGGGAGATGGTGCTGTTGGAGGTAAAGTTTAATTGCACATCAGTAGAATACATAGTAATAGAATATTTACTTTGGAAATCATGTGAAGATATTTTGGTTTATATATTTGTTGCCATAAAATGTATGGGTTTACCAAGAAACATTTCCTACATTTGCTTTAATATCTAACAGTTTCTCATAGTAAAATATTTCCTCTAAATCTTTTCCACTGTGTAGTTTTTTGTAATTGCTTTAATAAATCAATTCAATCCAATTTTTATATAAATTAATCCCCATTAGTCTTACTAAAATCTCCAACTGGCTTTGATTTGTGCCATCTTCTTTTTCACCGAATGCTTTTTCTCTCCTCGCTTCCTTCTTTTACATTGTCTTTGGTTGCCATTGCTTCCTCTTGCTCTTCACGAATTCAGATTCTCGAATGCTTTCTTTGGAACCTACCCAAGGGTGCATTTTCCATCCTAAGCACATGCCTACTTTTTAGTGTTTAATGAAATATTCTCAAGGATAGAGTGCATTTCTTATCGAAAATGCACATAACGTCGTTTTGTATGTTTAGAATAACAACGTTTTTGATACGTTGCTAATATACGTAACTAATTATCGGCTCAACTTTGATTGATAGTTCCCATTCTGTTTTCATAAAGTGTTTTAAGTTGGTAGTTGGTTGATTCATCAGTGTCGTTGAAGTCATCAGATTGAGCAGTGTCGTTAAACGAGGATTTCCCAAAAATAGTAAAGCGATATTTGATAACGCTTGAGCGCTTAGAAAGTCAAACGCGATAATCTGTTGTCTCAAAAAAAGATTTCAACAAAACTTAAAAATATTTAGTTATTTCTAGCAAAACTAACTTTGTCAGGCTAACTAAAATGAATTTGACCCAGACACATTCTTGCTCTGTTCATAGGTAGCCAATTCTTGCACTTGCTCTTACAGTAGCTTCACAGCCAGCACTTGAACTCCCATTTTTACCCATCTTATCTTTTTATGGGCATCCTTTTTTACTGTTATCGCTTCCTTTACATCGCTGTTCCTCCAACATGTGTCCTCTTGATATTCTGTACATCACTTTTTACCTGATCGACACACATTTATCATCCTCTGCCACAGTTTCTTGCACACCTCTGTACCTTTAGATCACCGATAGTTCCCACATATTTCCACCAACATGTGTCATCTTTATATTTTGTACATAACTTTTTACCTGATTGACACACATTTATGATGGTGTGTACTAACATCATGTTAAAGTACTAACATCAGTTAAAGTACTAACCCAGTACTAACATCATGTTAAAGTTGTATTCCTTTACACATTGTAGTATATGACTATTATCAATTGTAATTTAGTTTTGTGAAATTTTCTCTTTTTTAATTATTATTGTAATAGAGGTGATCTTGTTTTAGCTTTAGGTTCTCAGATCAAGGTTACAGATCGTCCAATGACCAGACAAGGTCTTGGTATTGCCACTGGAGCGAAAGGTTTCCACAAGAGTAACTCACACTAAAAACATGACAATATTTCCTTTCCTGAAACTTTGTTATTGCTTATAAAAATCACTACAAAAATATCTAAAAACTTGTCGACATGAGGCACAATTACCAAAGCGCTTGAAATCTTGCTAATGATAACAATGATTTATCAAAATATTAGGTCCGCAAAGGCAAGTTCAAGATAAATCCTATTTCATGGGACTGCTGAGGTATTTTTAAAGTTTGGGAAGTAGTTTTATTCATTCATAGTAATAATTGATTGATCATCAACGTACGCATTATGGTGGTTATCATTTGTGAAAGTTGAATTTTCTAAATTGTGTAAGGCTTTTCGTTTTCGCTTATATTATTGCAATGCGTACAAAACCTTCATACGTACTTACCTTGCTTAATGCATTGTGCGTTATCAATATAAACAATTTTAGCAGTTCTTTCAGGAATCAAACCATTCACCATGTGGGGAAATGGTATAGTGACGTTCACCATTTGATGTAAATGATACTAAACCATTCACCATATGGTGTTTATTGTACAACACCATTCATCATTTGATAGGAAAGGTATATCATTCACGATTTGATGTGAATGGCACTACACATTCATCATATAGTGTTTATAGTATTACACATAGACCATTCAGGTCTTGTTGCACTAGACCATTCACGATATAGTTTTTATGGCACTGCACTATTCACCGTATAGTTTTTATTGGGCTACACCATTTACCATCTAGTGTTTATTGCCCTACACCATTCACCATACATGGAACTACGCCATTCATCATATAGTGTTTGTGGCACTATTTTATTAACCATATAGTGTTTATCTTACTACACCATTCACCATAGTTGCGGATGTTGTGTAAGTCAACTGCAGCACATTTTGGAATATGCTTACATTTCTAAGTCCCTTATAGACAAATCCATTGGTAAAATTGTGTTCTTTAAAATTCAAAACCAATAGTGTTTTTCTGAAAGTACTTTGAATTTAAAATAGAGTAGCTATTATTTATTTTATCTAACGCTGGATCTGCTACTGATTCACTATATGGTGTTTATGGTACTTTACCATCCACCATATAGTATTGGTGGCATTCCATCATTCACTATGTAGTGTTTGTGGTGCAACACCATTACACCATTCACCATATGTTGCTAATGGTGCTACTCCATTCACTATATGGTATTTACGATGTTTGAAAAATATATTTAAATTTGTACAATTAAGGAGTCGTTACTTACTGTTTTCATTTAAAATTTTCCGAACGCCTTTTTTAAATAGTGCAGTATTGTTGTTTTGTTATTTTGCAACATCGTTCATTTTAAGGGCAAAGGTTTCTGAACTGACGGCAGAGATATCCAGAATGCAGAAAGAGATTGATAAATATTCCCAAGAACATGAAACGTATCTTACGTATGAAAAAAGGTATATTCTTTTTTGAATATTTTTCATGTGGCATATATTTTTTTCATTGAAATTTCAAGGTTTGTTGGCATTAGATATTGAGCCAATAATTTCACAAGCATGCCCAACGCTGATTATTGCGTGACCTGGTTTCTCGTATATTTGAAAAGCAGGCTTTAATGTATGTATGTTTTTCATTATAGGGCAGAAAATATTGCATCTGAGATAAAGAATCTACAAGGAGAGCTAGCTGATTATAACACCGTATGTTAAACATTTCGTAGCTGAACATGAATAACATTTTAATGTTTTCAGTCTTACATGTGAAGAGGATAGATGTTCTTACATATATTTAACATAAAGTATTTCTTTGCCGAAATTTTTAGTGGTTTATATTTTGTTGCGGTTTTAGGTTTCTTTTTCCAAAAGAAGAGCGGCTCGTCCCCCTCCCTCCCCAACAAATGGTTGTTCAGTAGCATCCAAAGACTTTTCGGCTTTTTACTTACGAGATACAAAGTCAACAAAGGCATAGAGATCTAAACTCTTCTTTTTTATTTTTAGCTTTTGGATAAGATGAATACAGATTCTGACATGGATGAAATAAATCAGGAGCATGATTCGGTAGGTCATCAATGATACTTCGATAACTTTTGGCGTTTTCCTTTTTGTGTCATTTACAATGAAGGTGAACGGCTCGATCCATGTTAAGCGTTTCTCTCTCCAGAAAACGCGAAATGCTTTAAGAACTAGCGGAGAAAATAAAAATATCACAGTTGCAGAATCGTTTTGTACAATACTAAAGCTTATATTAACGACGTGATTGAAATTCCTCAAAATTCTGTGGATAAATTTATGATAAATTAATCAAAATTAAATAAGAATTAATGAAGAAATCATCTGGGAAGGTTAAATCTAAAAGTTCAAGTCAAATTTTCTCTTGTTGGCTATCGCCAGCTTTGAATGATGTCCCGCCTTTAAGGTCAAAAAGTTGTTACAAAACAAACCGAAAATAGTATTTCGTTAATTCTGCAAGGTATTAAAGGGGTGATTTCATTTATCGATTCAACTCGCTCCCCTCTCAAAAATATAGCTATCCGTCTACGTCACCTTAAAGTGTTTACTGTTTATCACTTTTCGATTTTCATTTTTAGATTAAGGCTAGCAATGATCGTGAAAGGAAAATGATTGATGAATTGTTTTTGAAACGCCAAGAGTAAGTATGTATTGTTATTGATGTAAATACTGTATATTTATAAAAGTTCTTGTCCTTTTGTTATGTGTCGTCTCATCCATTTCTGCCCATATTTTGCATTTGCTCGTCATTGATGTGGTACTACCATGTTTTTTGTTTATAATGATTGAATCTTATTTCATTTTCTTTGATGCTTCTGAACACAAATTATAATGGAACAGGGAAATGTTATTTGGATTACATTACACAAAGCACCTCCTTTATCAAATAAGTCTGCAATTTTTCTTGTTGCTCACTTTTCGTCTGTTTTATGATATTTTCTGGAATTAATACCTTTTGTTGATTAAAGATACGAATCCAGTCCGAAACGTCTCAATTCGATTATGTTTCTTTTGAATTTGATATTCCTCACTCAAAATGCCAAAACATTTCGTACGAGACTGGTTTGGCGAAAATGCTGGGCTAGGGAAGCTTATTGCGAGAAAGTTCAAAATCAAATTAAATTCAGTACAAAATTCAATTCAAATGCAACTCAATTCTGTACTAAAATAAAATCTGTTTCCTAATTTAACACGTTTAACCATTTGTCTGTAGATTGTGGGATTGTGTCTAGTTTTCTATTGATGCGTGCAATTACAAGGGACGTTTACTGACCTTTTTAGAAAAGAGGACAAAATCAGAGAACTTCAACTTGAAATAGACCAAGAAAACAGAATGGCAGAAAATCTGGTACAAGGCATGGTTAGTGTGATGTAACTTTCTAAAGAAAATTTTTTACGTTACTTAAAGTAGATCAATGTAGAAAATTTAAGACTAGTGAATACGGCATTATTTAAAAACTAACTATGGCTTTTCGATTTAGTACAGATTAGTCATGAAAAAGATTAAAAATTTCAATTCATTGTGGTGATGTTTTACTATTGAGAATCACCATTAATAGCATGTAGTTGTAACGTTTCTAACTTATCGTTCTCTTTCTATATTGATATTCTTTTAACATTTAGTCTGATAAAATGAAGCAAAATTACTTCAATTTGAAGAAAAAAACTGTTTTACTTGAAAAAGTAAGTGATTAACTAATAATTGCTTAATATAATTCTTTCCCTATTTTCTATACGTGTGTCTAATCCAAGAGTCGCTATACCAGAGTTATGTTATTTATCTAATAGTGAAACGAGAGTCTCTTGGCTCTTTTCTGTTTGTCTCATCCAAGAATCACGCCTTGCACGACGGTTAAGTTATTGATGCAATAATTACATGAGAATTTCTTGCTTCTTCATTAATGCAAGAGATCTACCGTGTACCACAACTATTGTGATTCATATCATATACACGTCTTAAAAAATGGACTGTTAGGACGAAGTTAGCGTACCACTGAGATTTTGTGAACAACTGTCTTCGCACAACTAACTACTGAGCGAGATCCGGAAAGAGTCTGTGCATGGAATTAGTGTTTGCAGCCAACATGACGTCATAATGTGTGAAACAAATGTAAAATTCACGGTCGAATAGTATAGGTCATACGCTATTCATATGCTACAAAGCCACTTCTCGTAAGACATACCCTACGAAGGCATATACATATGTACGCTATGAAGCTTGTGTTTACCCTGTATTCATACATTTAGTAGTTTATAATCAAGTGTAACATTACACAAACTGAAACGTAGAATATTGAATGGAATTCCATTTTGTATGATCAGTGGAATGGCTAGATTTTTCATCATATGAATCATAGTCATCGGTCAAAAGTTTGAAAAAGATTTTATTTCTTCTCAGGAATTGGATGAAAAACAACAAAATCTTGAAAAAATAACAACAAAGCTACAAGTACTTGGAGAGGTAAAAATTCCCACTTATCAAAATTGTTTTATTTATTTTAAGAGTGTCTATTTTTTGTATTTATGTCGGAGGTGTTCAGTATTAAGCGCAAAAAAACTGTCAATAAATCTTCAATGTTAAAACATTTAAAGCATTTCTTTATCTGTTAGTCTGTTACATTGATTCAAATGTAACAGTTTCCACTCGCTTGGATTCAAATTTTTATGTGTAAATTTTGTATATTTTTGTTATCCATCCTAGGAGATTTCATCATCTCCTGTAAAACAAGAGGCTGGTAAGCTGCTTACATTACTTCACTCTATCATCAAATTTTTTATTGTGTTATTTTACTGTGCTGTATAATGTACCAAACAGCTTATTCCCAATGCGCTGTTTGCCTATGTCATATTGTAATTTACTCAGCTTAAAGTTCTTACAAACAATAATTCTGGTTTAAAACATTGAGTAAATAAATCAATTCCTTAATACCAAAGGAGTTTCTGTACTTCGTGATTTCAAAAGTGCTCCTTCAGGTCGTTTGAAAGGGTCAGTTGGATGGCTTCAACATGTATAATCAAAGTTATGACTTATAAATAAACCACTTCATAAAATAATTTTCATTGTAAAAATGTTTGTCATGCATGTTTTTATGCTCTTATTTCATAATTACATTTATCTTTAGTAACGTTATATGAGAAAATTCATGAGTTGGAAGAGAAGAAGCAGAACTTGGTCGAGGAAGACATGAGTAAAGGCACTCCTGCAGAGGAGAGAGAGAAGCTTTTGAAGCAGGTTCATTTCAATTGGTTCTAATGCTTGTTGAACGAAACTTGTATACAATGCTGCAATGATATAACTTCTTAAATCAAAACATGCGATATAACTATCTAGGTAAAGGATGACAACGAAGAGATACGCTCATTGGAAAAGAGGTAGTGATGTAGGAACAGTAACGATGCCCATAACATTAGTCAGGGTTTTTGCTTCTCCCACCTCCAATTTACTTTTTAGCGAATTGCCTAATGTTTCAGGCCATAAATTAATGCTTTCGATTGCTTTTTTATCTAAACATCGATTGAAATTTCTGTGCACGAAAGCGCGAACGGTTTCAATGTAACGTTTCACGTATTTCATGATCAGACCATCTGGAGGCTACGTACTTTCGAGTTGCGCATAATTTCAATGTAAAGTTTCACGTATTTCAAGATCAGACCACCTGGAGGCTACGTACTTTCTAGTTGCGCATGGTTTCAATGTGACATTTCACGTATTTCATGATCAGACCACCTTGAGGCTACGTATTTTCTAGTTGCAGACGGTTTCAATGTGACGTTTCACGTATTTCATGATCAGACCACCTGGAGGCTACGCACTTTCTAGTTGCGCATGGTTTCAATGTAACGTTTAACGTATTTCATGATCAGACCACCTGGAGGCTACGTATTTTCTAGTTGCAGACGGTTTCAATGTGACGTTTCACGTATTTCATGATCAGACAACCTGGAGGCTACGCACTTTCTAGTTGCGCATGGTTTCAATGTAACGTTTAACGTATTTCATGATCAGACCACCTGGAGGCTAGGTACTTTCTAGTTGCGCATGGTTTCAATGTGACGTTTCACGTATTTCATGATCAGACCACCTGGAGGCTACGTATTTTCTAGTTGCAGACGGTTTCAATGTAAAGTTTCACGTATTTCATGATCAGACCACCTGGAGACTACGTACTTTCTAGTTGCGCATGGTTTTAATGTGACGTTTCACGTATTTCATGATCAGACCACCTGGAGGCTACGTATTTTCTAGTTGCAGACGGTTTCAGTGTAAAGTTTCACGTATTTCATGATCAGACCACCTGGAGGCTACGTACTTTCTAGTTGCGCATGGTATCAATGTGACGTTTCTACGTACTTTCTGGTTGTGGATGGCAATTATTGCCAAGTGTCATAATTTGTTATTTTGCTCATGTGCGTACAACAAGTATAGCTACTTTGAAAAATTCTTGAAATGGCGTCTGTAAATTTACGAAGTTAATATCAAATTTACTACGTCCATCACGCTTTTTCATATGCATATACCTTATATGAGGAGCCAAGTGCCTTATGCTAAATGAAAGAATAATTTTTTTGTTGAATATTTACTTGCTTTGATATTTTAGGATCAAAGAAATTAGAGAAAAGGTGCAGATTTCAACGGAAGAGTTACAGCAAGTTGATATGGATCTTGAGGAAAATCAAGGTAATTCATGTCAAGTTAAAGGTCCGTTCACAGTCGGATCCGTCAGTCTGAAAAATCGGATGGAAATATAACTTGCTCTATTTTCATCTGACAAGATCAAAGAAACCCGACTAGTCCCGCACCTCTCACTCTCTATACTTACCAAATTTCATTTGGCGCAAAACATTTCATGTGATCAAGACTTAAAAGCAAGAACTAAAATACGCAAAATATATCGATTAATGTACTGGATAAAATAAATGTCTGCTCCCACAACAAATATCTAAACGAATATAAATATCAATAAAATTATCGGACCTTCTGAACAAGCAACCAAAAATTGGAACCGAAACTTTCGGATCCTACAAATCGGATCGTGCAACCGGCCCCTGCTAAATACATAGCTGATTAGAGAAGTTTCATTACATACAAGACTTGGTTTCTGTTCTTTAAATTTAATTTACAAGTTATGGCTGGTTAATAATGTTTATTTTTTTTCGTAACAAGGGGAGCGAAGTCAAAAATATATCGAATTAAAGAAAAGAGAAGAAAGCATGCAAGGTATTGTATATGCATGTTTCATGTGGAGTGGTGGAGGTCGTAAAGTCATTTGAAAATGGCTGACCAACATCAAATGAAACAAATCTAGGAACAGAACAAGACTATGTAACAAAGTAAATAAAAGTAAATTCATTAAACCAATCATATACAGTTATAATGCTAAAATTGGCAGAATTTGATATTGCTGCCAACGAAAGCCGGCTTTTTTAGAACATTGCCGGCGATTTGTGATTTCAAAGCAAATGTTTAATAATGTTTACAGTAACATATCATTGGGACATTGACTTTCTCATAATTAATATTTCCGTCATCATTCTTTGCCCACGTTTTCTGTATGCATATTAGCGACTTGTTTCAGAAGGCCTTAGGCCTTATAATATGAAAATTGCCGGCAAGAATTTTTTCGGCAAAAATGGTCTACAAAATTTGACACATTTTTACAGCGTTATTTCGAAGCCTGGATTGGCAATATTTATTTTTGAAATTGCATACCTTTCTTCTTAGAATTTCTTGATTCTTTTGAAGAAAATAAACAGAAAGAGCTGGTGAGCGCCTTAGGAATTGAGCTGTGTTCATTTGCTTTTCTTCATTTGTATTTCTCTCAAATTTAGGAACGCAAATCTCAGTTGGAGGGAAACATTGTCTCCATTCTTGAACACATGAGCAGAGTAAGATTCACATCTTTTTAATGAAATATGTTATGTGAAATTTGGGAGAATTAACTGAATACTTAAAGACGCAACGTGTCTCTCTAAATTTTATCTTTGTAACCCATCATAGGTATTAGTTTCGTTAAATACAATATTCAAATATCCCCACACCAACAACTTGCTTTCATGAATGACACGATTCCTCCAAATTGTGCAACAGTAGAACTACGCGATTAAAATACACATTAACTTCTGGAGGCGTTATAACGCGTTATGCATGAACTTTTGAAAGCTCCCTGACTTTTCAATGTTATATTTTTCAAGAAATAATGCGTTCAAAGCACTTGCATAGCGTGATCGAACTCATGAACTTTTTAAAGCTCTCTGACTTTTCATTATTATATTTTTCAGCGATTGATACATTCAAAGCACTTGCACAGCGTAAATGAACTCATGAACTTTTTAAAGCTCTCTGACTTTACAATGTTATATTTTTCAGCGATTGATACATTCAAAGCACTTGCACAGCGTAAATGAACTCATGAACTTTCTAAAGCTTTCTGACTTTTCATTATTATATTTTTCAACGAATGATACGTTCAAAGCACTTGCCTAGCGTGAACGAACTCGTGAACTTTTCTAAAGCTCTCTGGCTTCTCAATGTTATATTTTTCAGCGAATGATACGTTGAAAGCACTTGCCTAGCGTGAACGAACTCATGAACTTTTCTAAAGCTCTCTGACTTTACAATGTTAATTTTTCAGCGAATGATACGTTCAAAGCACTTGCCTAGCGTGAACGAACTCAAACAAATGCAGGTGACTTTCCTTACGTAATGTTCATATCACTGATATGTGTATTTAATACGTTTTTGGAAACATCAATTTTAGGAGGATTTGAGTTTTAAAGAAAATGAAATGCAAAGATCACAGAATACGTCGGAGTCTTTGCAATCAGGTACTAAGATGATTTATGGCGATCTATTGTATGTTATGTTACTTCTATGAATTGATACATTTCATACATAAAAATTTTATTTGTTTCTCTTAGAACATGAAAGACTGCAAATCGACTTGGACAAAGTTGAACAGGTAATGTCGTAATGATGCCTGCAACTTCCAGAAATGAATTGAGATTTCATTACTTTATTGCTTTAATTTTACAACCGATGAATTCGACCTCGAAAGTAAGCTTTCTTACTGTGGTACTATGTCCCTCAGATTAAATTGATTTGATGACTGTCCAACCAAAATGTACTGTAGTTTATTTGTTTACTAATGCACACAGTAAATAAAGCGATTTTTGGCTTCCTTGCTTTACCATAGCCAAATTACTGGTTAATATGTACTTTCATGGATATAATGAATCCTTGAATGTACTTTCATGGATCGTTTGGAAAAACATAGCAAATTTTTTTATTAAACTATCACTGACCTCCATATCAATGCTTCGTCGTAACCATTCCATAATAATTTAATATAAATATTCACTTTGTTGTTCTCGTAAAAAGCATAGATACCTTCATATCAAACATGGCATATTGCTTAAAAATGTCAAACTACGCATGGTGTGAAGATAATTACCAACCCAACACCCCCACCCAAATTTCTTGAGATTTTTTTACTAGCTTCACTCAGAAAATTGTTTCAGACGCTAGCGATAATAATGAATAGCGAATGGCAATAAAAATTGAAAAATTTTCAAAACACAACCAATTTTCAAGAATTAAACGATTAGATGTGTAAGTGACAAATTTTTTGCCTGCAATGGAAAATATAAATTTTCTAGTTCGAGAACCAGACGTTTATGCAACAGTTATATAGCTGACTTATTCTGTCTTCTTGTTCAGCTCGAAAGCAAGATAAGTTCAGAGCTTGAAGCTATAACAATTAAAATCGCTACAATGGAAGAGGTTCGTCTTAGAGCTATGAATGATTTGTTTTTCTCTTACTGACGTTTTTTATACTTATTTCTCAGGAACTTGTGAAGTATCGTGATTTAGGCTCCCTAAAAGAAAGCGCTGAAAATAGAAGAATGGTTTGAAATCACTTCAGTGACATTTTTTAGTAATACAAGCAGCATAATTTTTGTTCTATTTTGTTCTTTAGAATTTGAATGAAGAACAAGAAACTCTGGAATCTAGGCGTGAGACCATGCAAACCCGTAGGTTTTGATTAATGTCTCACTGTTTGTTGTACAGTCCAATCAACTTTTACTTAAGGTTGCGGAGGTTTGATAAACTTAAACGCATGGTTATCGCTATACGCTATTATTAAACACAAAATGATGTTGAAAAATGCGCTCGATATTTCTATTGCAAACAACAAGTAATAAAATTGTCAATATTTTAATCAAGGTGTTCGCGATTTAACTGCAAAATACGATGTTCTCAAAAATAAATTGAATGAAAATGAGACGTACTCCCAGGTAGCAACCAGTATTTGTATCTACGTAGCTATGTATTATTTTTAGGTTATTCAATATTAAAAAAGTCTGTGTCACTTTGGCACAAACGTCAGGGATTATAGTTTCATTTATTGTCTTTGTCCTTTGCAAGTAACTTCCAGCTCCTTACTCGTAACCTTTATTATCTGTAATTTTTAGCTCTCAAATCTTGAACGAAAATGGCAACATTTGGAACAAAATAATTTTGTCATGAAAGAATGTATCTTTTTTGCCAAATTAACTGCGTTCAATAGAATGTAATCTGCCAGTATGACCAAGTCTCCTCGAGAAAATGTTGGGGCTATTGATGTATATGTTCTGTGTAGGGGGGAGTGGGATAAAAGTTGATAGTGATTATTAAGGAACTGATAATGAGTGTCAAGTTAGGATTGAATACGTATTACGTATTTGGTCAGGATCATATAGATCTTTACAGAAGAAAAATATTGCGAAGGAAAGATTAACATGTTACATTTTTACATTGTCGACAAGTACATGCAGCTGTTGATGACAAAGAACATTGAATTGAAAGTGATATGCCACACGTCATGTGTTAATAATTATGTAAATCTTTAACGGATATATAATTAGTTTACGTATATATAAACATATGTGACGTCAATATAACTATCTAGAGACAATCTTCAGTTCACTTTACTTTGTATATAATGATCGAACCTTAACTTCTATTGCTCAGTTATTGCTACAAAGAACGTTGAAAGTGACTATAAACCATTAAAGGAAAAAGTTATCGTTCAACTGGATGATATAAACAAAATAATCATAGGAAACCTGAAAAAACAAACTAAATAGTTCATAGTATTTTGTAATTTATTTATGGTTTGACTTTATCATTTTGCATGTTTAAGTTAGTTATGACTTTGTGTGTATGTGAGTTAATATATTTAAAATTCGAAGTCCAAATAACAGTGAATTAATATATTAAAAATTCGAAGTCCAAACTACCACTTTTACTTACATGTACATGATTTCGTGATATTGTTTGTTTTTGTTTTCACAGAACTTGAAAAAACAGCCTGACGTAGTGTCATTGCTAACTTAATGGTTAACTTGATGGTACGTTCAACCATGAAGTTTGAAGTTTGGAATTGCAGTTCATATTCGTTTTCTTTCAATTTTAAATTGAGCAACTTTGTTTGATGCTCCTATAACTGAAATTAACTTCATAAGACTGCATCAGTCTGCGTGATGTTTGACTTTTCGCTTTATATAGCTAACAACTAAGCAAATAACTAAATTTTTGATTTGATTTCAGACTGAAATCTTTTTATTCACATTTTTAAACAAACTGCTAGCTTATTTTACATGTCGTATACCACTATATCTTGTATTTTGATCATTCATTTTTTGAAATCATTGTTTTCTCAGTAAATGAAAACAGAAAAATTAAATAGCTGGCTAAATAAGCGGTCTGGATTCGCCAGTATGTGGTTTATATACGTGCTGACGTAGCTTTGGGTATTGAAGTGCGTGCGTTCCTTACCTCACAGTGTCAGTGCTACTTGAAGTTTGATTGCCACAGTAGTGATAGTGCTAGTAATCTTTAGGATTAGTTAGCAAGGGTGCACATACCAAAATTGTCGGAGGAAGGGACAGTATTGGGTAATAGTTTCATGTTTTAAACCTTTACTTTAAATGCACGACATAAGATACAGAGTTAAACTAATAATAACTAATAAGTTACTTTTAGGGCAATTTAAAACCCATTGAAAACATTTTCAATGTTTTCATTTAGCACATAGTTATTTCTTATTGTAAATTTTATTTATTATTTTATTGCATTGTGTTATCAAACTATTTCAGCACAATTTTCAATTTGATCATGTCATTCATTAGAAGTGAGAGCAATCAGCCTAAACAGACTTGTTCTTGCATGATTTTCCATCAAATATAGGCATGCATTCATTACTGCTTTTAGTCTGCTTATATCAATTAGACTCGTCCAATTGGATACAGAGAAAAACACAAAATTTGAAATATCTTTTTCCCATTTGATTTAACCAACTGGTTTGTCAAAAATTTTAATGGTAAAGTGTTAACCAAGCGTGTCCTTTGAAGACATCACCGTAGTTTATCAAATACGCACCATAAGAAAACACTTACTCACTTGTCAAGAGCCTTTATGTAGAGTTTTCGAATTATAACATCCAAATTCCAAACCGTTTTTCTGTTGAATGAAACTCACATCGACATAACAAAAAAAAATCAGTAAGGAATCTTATTAATCTAACTGAATCAAGTCATACAGTTTGGTCTTTGGTCCTAAAACAGACAACTACAAATCACCAATCATGTATAAATCGTGTCTAACTATGAGTTTGAATATTTTTATATTCAAGAAGGTGAAAAGACTTTGAAACAAAATAATAAACATCGCTTATACACTTCAGTCACGGTAAGTATAAAGTAAAATTCTATTTCCACAAAGTTTTCCAAAAGTGACATTAAAACGTGTGAAGAGTCACCAGAACCTATAACTTATAGCACATACGTATTAAAAAGCATCACTGTACTTGCCTTAGATTAAGATATGAATCACCTATGACTTTCAGCAGGAATTTTGCCGCATCTCGCTAAGTTTGGAATAGACAAAAACGAGCTTTGGTTAATATAAGAATAAGAAAAAAAACGAAGACTTTCTGACTTTTACAAGTTTTTACAAAATAATGATCGAAATTTTGACAACAGAGTGATTAAAGAATTATTATATATCGAGGATCATGTCCACTGTATAAACTTAATGTATGATTTACACAGACCATATATGATTCACACACACTATGTATGATCCATAAACACTATGTATTATCCACACAGACCATGTATGATCTACACACACCATGTATGATCCACACACACTATGTACGAGAATGATCCGCATCTAATTTTTGAATAACCTAAATACACAAATTCTCCGATGGATTAATACATACAACAAAATTTTGCAATTTTTTTGCAGGCATGCTTTTAGTTTGCTAGCTTCGTTCCAATAACCCTTTAAGAGTTGCTCAACATGTAACATCGACTTAATAATGCGAGTCATCTTCATCTTTTAAACGTTTTTCCTCTAAAACAGGCCTGGGGTCGAGCATCAATGTAACTAAAGCACAAATTTCTTTCTGATAAGGCCTTAAATTGATGTTGGAGATAAAACACGATAGTTATAATTTAAATGAGAGAATAATGACAAACGTCACTCGAAATTCATAAAGAAATTTTTATTACCTTAAAGCAATGTATGCTCTCACACAAAGTTCAGTAAATCATCTAGGAATAAAAGTTAATGACATGAACCCAGTCAATAGATTAGTAGGATTTAAACAATATATAAGTTAGTTATTTTCTTTTTCACAATTACATATTTCTATATAATGAGAAAATAGGGAAAAATTTCAAGCAAATTCGTTATCATAAACATTTGGTCGTTTTCAACTTGCCCAAATCGTCTAACGCCTCAAAAAATAAGTTTAGCTTGTGTTTAAAGTCATGAACTTAACTATGAAAATTTTTTAGTCAATAACCTGAATAAATGGGACTCCGTTGTCTTACCATTATCATAGTTATGAATAAAAACTATATTATGAGTAGTGATTTTATAAAAGAGGTCTTAATAACGGTGAGACCTTTGCAAATATTTATACTGATCAAAAAAGAGCTGTAATCCTTAATGGTCAGCTAACAACATGCATATTAAATCGAACGCTGACACGCATGGCAGGTTAACAATGTGTCATCCATTCAACTGAACACTGTTTGTCTCATTGATGTAAATCACTTCCTTTTTACTTCCTTTTTTAGCAACGACTTACCACCTGTGCAAGACTGAATTTAAAGCCAACTATACAAAATATTAATTAAGGATTAATATTATGTCTATTTTCTGATGATGGCTTTGGAATGACGCTGACTGTGATTTATCCCCATTGTAAATTCTTACTTTTGGCTAGAGTATAGTTTTATTTTAGTCATTAGAGAGGACGTAGGGCGTCACAAGTTAATCTTTATTATGCAAAAGTGTTTTGTGTAAAAGCCATTTTCTTTATATCACCAATTTTAAACTTAAGATCTTCTGATTATTCTCTTTTCACCTGGTGATAGAGTGGTTTAGTTTTCTGTTCTGTCATGGTTTAAGTAATTTGACACATCAAACAGCATAAGTTTTATCATGAATAATATGCTAATTTATGCAAACAGCAATGCCATTACCATCATTACCAGTGAATGTAAAAAGCGCTTACGCCTAACGTCATCTTACTTACGCTAATTAGCATATAGCACATAAGTTTTGATTTGTTCGTTTGAGGTCATTCTTCATCGTGACCCGCTTGGAGCTTGTCAAGGTTTCAATACAAAATGCCAAAGAGTCAGAGGACGTCCGTAATTACGAAACACAAGAAAATCGTGAGAAAGAGTCCTCCCAAATGTAGGAAATGCCGAAATCACGGAATAAACGTTAATGTTAAAGGACATAAACAAGACTGTGTTTATAAAAATTGCCAGTGTGATTTGTGTAAGAACACTGATAAAGAAAGACGTCAGACGGCTGCAAGAATAGCAATATATAGAGAAAGCAAACGTTATTTGAATCAGATGGTATGTTTTACAACAATCTATACTTTCTTGTTCAATGTTAAATTAATACAATATTTGATTTTCCCAATAATTCTTACACTATATGCAATGTTCGTTTGGTGAAAGGATAAAAATCATTTTGTCCAACTAAACAAGTTTTATTTTCTTATGTTCAATTTCTCTAAAGCGATCTTAGCTAGCAAACTGTTTTTTAACAAAACACTACGATAGACAATATCTTTCAAAAAATATTTGTGTGAAAAGTGAGCTGACTCACTTGAATGGCACTATCGTCGAGAAAAATGAAACATGCGTTAAAAGCATTAGTTACGACATAATCTTGGGTGTAGAGAAAAGATTTTATTCCAGAATGAGAAATATTTCATTTAAAAATCATACGAAAGTTATTTACGTTGTTCTTTCTATAGAACTTTTATCATTTTGAAATGAGTAAAACCACGTGGTAGAAACTTCGCTCCCTTCAGTGAAATGTTTGCGTAAATCATATTGTGGGCGTGTCATCGGGGAAGAATTCATATGCTGAAAAGACAGCTACATTTAGATTTGCATTGAGTGAATACATTACAAATATTTGTTTGGCCATGGCGAGCTCTTTGGCACTGTGAACTAATACAAATGAACTGAATCACTATTTTCACATTATTTCTTCAAGTTTGGATAGCAAGAATCGTTTTTACAAAGATACCTTTTCGGTCTACACAATTCAGACCCCGTCTATACCATACCGGAATGCTTTCGCATCTGATTGTTATTCTACCCGATAAAAAATTATATAATTATGTGTTCACATTATATATGGTCACTTATGATTTTGCGCTACGTACAGTTTGGGTTCGAATCTTGCGCTAGAATTGTATAACATTTTGCAAATGTATAAACCAAGATCGTACAGGTTTAACACCAAAAAGTGCATAGAGCGTAAGTTAATAATATTATTTACTGAACGAAGATAGGTTTACATTTATAATTTTCCAAGAGACCACGCTTTCAAACAAAGAACTGAATCAATTCAAAGTTGATAAAATTGTTTTTATTTGACCATTATAATGTTGGCAAAAAAATATCATAATTATTTTCAACTTTTACACAATTCCTTGCAAACACTGTGTAGTATGTCGGTTTTAAAATGGAGTCAGAATATCACGAATTGAAGAACTACGTTTTCATGTATTTTTCTATAAATACTTATAACCAGGACAAGCAGACAATTTTAATACAACAGATTGCGACTATAAACATCTCGTTTTCTTGATATTCAAGATGATACAAGAATTTAGACAATAAATTGTGTAATATTTCGTCTTTTTTCCAAAGACATCGTCAGATTAATAATTTACAAAGCAGGCTG